GCAACCCTATATCACGAAGCTCTTTGAACATTGTCGGGTCGGACTGCTTTAACAACGTGAAAAAAAAATCGGTTTTCGACTCTAGCCGCGGTTCGCGTAAGTGTATATGAAACATCCATATCGCGTATTGTACGTTTCCCGAAACGAACAACTTTTAAATCCATTTCGCGAAATGGAACCGCGGTTTCTCCACTTCACGTAATCACACAATTTGGATAATATTTCGTAAAATGAATACCTAAAACCATAATCGACGGAACTTGTTCCGTCATTTGGATGCCCATACAGCAAAAATTTAAAAAAAACTTTAATTTATATATATTAAATTTATTCCTAAAAATTAAATTAAATTATTATTTCTAAGTAAATGTTTTACATATATTATAATATTATAACACTTTAATATAAACTATTATTTATTTAGACAAGCTTGTGAGTTATGATAACGAGAATTACATTTTAAATTATCTTTAAAATAAGCACATATTTTTTAGTTTAACATTTGCCTTTACAATACCAGCTAAAAATACCTTGACCTCCAGCTAAAGAAGATACAATTTCTCTTAAAGACATTTATTTTGTCTTATTCACTTGCTCGATGTCAATGAAATTTGATGTGGCTGGTTATATATTACCAGAATCATACCAACCTTTTAGTATGCCATGTTCAGTTCCTAAATGGTTAAGTTTATTTTTCTGGGTGATCACTACGCCAATAACGTCAACTGGGTTTGCAGGACCTTTATCCACCTTTGGAACCGGGATTACAACAGAGTCTCCAACTTGAATTCTCTTTGTACTTAATTTCATTGAATTTCTGCATTTTCCACTAAAGCGAGACTCTCAATTATTGTTAGATTTAATGTTTCTAACTTTTTATTATTTTATCCAGAAAAAAAAATTATGGGAATATATGCTAAATTATTTTGCAAGTTATTATTTTACATAATATCAAAAGTAAAAGCGATTGTAGTATCTGAATCAAGATTTGAAATATCTTCTTTCATTTAATTCCAATAAAATAATTGTAAATGAAATACTGTATTGAAATGGTATGAAAATGTGAAATATTAAAAAAAATGTATTTACATCGAAAACGTGTGAAAATATGTAAAGTAAAAAATGGCTCATATTATTCAGGGTATTATGGAACGTGCTTATTTTTAATCGGAATTGAGAAATTTACATCCAATAAAATTATGTAATAACATAAAGATCCGCGCCCTAATAATAATATATTATGATATATAGAAATCAAATTTTTTTTTTTTTTTAATTTTTGCTGCATGGACATCCAAATGACGGGAGAAGTTCCGTCGACGATGGTTTAGGTATCCATTTCACGAAATATTATCCATATTATGTAATTACGTGAAGCGGAGAAACCGCGGTTCCATTTCGTGAAACGTACAATAACTCGATATGGATGCGACGTATATATTATACATGATTTCCCTGTACATGTACAGGGAGCCGGCGAACGAAATTTGCGTTTTCCGTACGCGTTTGCAGTTTTTACTCGACGAGTAGGAGTGGCATTAATTCGTATCGTACGTTGTGCGCGAAATTGTATAGTACCGGTATGCTGTACTGCACGAAGTCTTACGGTCGGGGATCGGGCGTCCATTGAAAATGATCAAAAGTCAGTCCCCGTTAAAAATACAACGCCGAAAACGTCGCGCAGTAGCAGGGCTTATTTTGTGTACTTGGAAAAGGTAGATGCGCACTTGATAATAAACTTTTGCGTAAATGATTTTTAATCCAATGTTGTTTAGGGTTATTTCATACATTACATTGTGATTTATAAACATAGTAAAAAGGAAATTTATTAAAAAATATTAAAAAAAATACTTTGAACACGAATGTAAATTGTTTTATATCTTTTAAATACATTACATTTTAAATTACTTCACATAGAAGCTACACATTTTATCATTTTTAACAATAATTTGACAGTATATTTTGAGATCATAGTTCTATTTTGATGGGCTTATTTAAACAAAGTGCGTAGTTGATAAAAAACCTTAGAATAATTCTTCCTGCGCAGTAGATCCTATAACGTTCAGTGGCGTATCTAGGATTTTATCATGGGGAGGGGATATAAAATATTTTCGTACATAATATGTGTAGGTATTATAAGCTTTTTTCTACTACATTTACAAAATAAAATTTAATTTTCTTGATGACTGTGCCATTACTCTATGGCTGTATCCCGGGTCATGATATAAGTACGAGGTGTATATCCGTAATCTGATATGAAGTTAGATACTAACGTTTGCCAGTGTATCCTTCTTGGTTACGAGATAATAAAAAAATAGTTTTTATTTAAATTGTGCATGCAAAAATTGAATTGGTTGCAAAAAAAAATTTTTTAACTCTCGGCCCACGGGGGGGGGGATCTATCCCACAAATCCACCCCCGTAGATGCGCCACTGACAACGTTGTACGTGGAGAAGAAATTTGCCGCGCGGCGTCGTCGCGCTGTACATTGTTCACGCGCAACGTCGAGCATCGATCGGGTTTGACGGTGTTGATTTCGGTTTCGATTTCGACGGCGAGTGACTAGCTAGAGTTAATAAAATCTGAAATCGCATTAATCATCAGTTATGCGCACTCTGTATACGCGTGTCGCCGCGCGCAGTCACTACGTAATATGCCGTCGCCGCACATCTGTGCCCGTGAACACTATAATAGTGCAAACAGTGTTTGGAGTTCTATTTACGCAGACGTGCTCGTAACGCATTCGTTATCCGCGCACCTTTGCGCACATTTCCGACGAGCGGGCGGGGTAGAGGAGCAGTTGGGGAAGGGAAACGGAACTTTTGCACCAACAACGTTGCAACGGTGACGAACGCGCGTGCGTTACCTACAATGATCACGACCGCGGTATAACATTAACGTGCCCGCGCGCGGATCCCAACGATAGCGATTGCACGCGAATCGGTCATTGTTCTAGCGCCAAGCCTGTGACTAATTCCCCGTCGGTCGAACGGCTTTCTGAACACCGTCGGACGGAGGCGGTGCGTGCATAGGAGGTAGTTCTAGAGATCCAATTAGGTTACGGACGGATCTGATGGTTTTATCGCGCTTAGATACGAACAAGAGTGAAAGCGAAATCATTCAACGGATTAGGAACACGGCAATTATTGTCCGTCGCACGTGCCGCATATCCGCTATGCGACCGGCGGTTTATTTGTTTGTGCACACGACAGTTATTTTCCAAAACATCTATCCAGAACGAAAGAAACACCCGTTGAAATAGGAGTAGCTTACAAGTTCTGAACAGTATATTTGTGTGAAAATAAAAAGCCCGTTGGTTTATGAAACGCAAGCAGTTTTTTTTTTTTTTCCTTAGGTGCAATGAATTAAAATAAGTGAAAACCGTTTGCGACTAGTAAACAATTCTTAGCCTGAAGAATATACGCACGGAAAAGCATAAATGACCTAGTTACAATGATATCCGACCTTGAAGAATTGAAACCCTGTTTAATCAATATTCTGAGGTGGTCGTTGGTTGGGTGTGGGCTGATGCTAGCACGCCCGTCGTTTGCTCTCGGTTCGACCCACTTATCTCGCTTATTGTTCAGTTTTTCTGAACACGGGGTCGCGTAGAGAAAAAAAAAACACCTCGCGTTAATTGATAACCAAATAATTATATCTTCACAATTATCCATATTTTATTTTTTTTATTATACGATTTATGGTAAGAAAAGATATGCTTGTAAATATTTATCAAAGAAAACCAATCAGCAAGAGACAAAAACATTCGATAAAAACTGAAACACGAAATTAATATGACACAAGTCGTTTAAAGCACTTTACATTTTTTTTTTTTTTAAATACTTTTACTCTTAATTTGTGGGCAATCCCAAAAAACAGTCTAGTTAAAAATTCTGAAGAAAAATCAAACATAAAAATATATATAATTATATTGCATACCTATGTTCATTACTCAATAATTAATCCACAATTCAAAAAAATGTATTGTGGTAATACATCTTATTTTTGATAAAATTAATAAAAATATATTTATTTTTTAAAAAAAATAGCAGTTGTACCATATATGTATGTATATACCACGTAGTAGTACCATTGATTATAGAATAGATCTATTGTATAATCTATGGTAGTATCAAAGCCCTTTATAATATATAGCTACATATTTCTTGATTTAATATAAGTATACTGAAGGCATTAAATAATGCAATTTGTAAAAGAATTCTTAAAATCATACGTAATCATACATACTAAGGATACTTAGATTGTAAAATATATGAAAAAATTGCTATTAGTTTGTTATTTTAAAACTTAGTATATTTTCGCCTAATGTTTTAATGATCTCGATTTTTACTAAAACATTTTTTATCCATGGTTTGGTTTTAAATATAATTTTATTACTTAATAAAATTTCTCTTTTAAATAAGTAATTAGTTCAAGGCTAATGAAATTTCTTTTTGATGGTTTTGACATATAATGTTAAAAACCTACAATAAGTTCAATATATTTTTTTTATTTTTAAACATTTTTAAAAATATTAGTCTGCATAAGCATTTTTTAAGATTTAACAATCATAGTTTTGATGTTTTAACATTTTAGAAGATAAGAGTAAATAATTTAAAAATACTTTATTGTCATAACACAAATAATCTTTAAATTAGTTTGTAAAATGTAATGTATAAAAACATAATCGTAATAAATATTTATAATACAATTATTATCATTATCACCATAATACTTTAAATAATACCAATACACCATAAAGCTGTATTTTAAATTAATTATTGTATCATGCATTGAACTTTTAGAAATAAATTATATTATCAAACATAAAAATATAAGGTAAATTAAAATTAATTGAAGCCAACATTTCCATGAAAAAATAAATCAATGAAACACGGTATTTTAAAAATAATTAATTTTAATGAGTTTTGGGGATAGACAAATTTGTAAATTAAGTGCTTAGTGTTTAAAAATATAAATCATAGTTCCAACAATTGGTATTTTATCATTAATCAATATTTTTTAATAAGTATCATTAAATATTTCACTTATCACAAAAAGTAAGGTGTAGCAGCCTTATCTGGAATAACTCGTTGATCATCAGGAACGGCATTAAACAATATTGGTTTACGATTGTGAACAGAAGAAAATTCCATTATTGATGCTACATTACCACATCGATAACAGTAGTTAGGTGCTGACCATATCGTAACAAGTTTGTCATTAAACATGTATTTATACCCTGTAAAATAAAATAATAATTTCAAATAACATTTATACGTACTTATAACAGAGGCGTTCTCAGTATTTTTTATTGAGGAGGGGAGATATGAAAATGCATTATAAGGTGAGCCGTGGAGACCAAACCCCCACACCCCATTTTTTATACAAAAACAACATACAACAATTTACATCAGACTGTTCAGAGAATTTCACCTACACTTTTTCTATATCAATACTACTTGTAGGAGGAACCAACTATTTTTTTTAAAAAAAATGTAGTATACTTTAATTATTTTGTTTCATTTTGATCAAAAATAAAAATACAAGTCAGTAGTAATTCATCAATACCCTAAAAAAATTGCTAAAAACAATTGATTAACACAAATATGTTATCACTTGTATATTGAGACTTATTTATTGTTTACACTTTACATTAATATAATATTAGATTACAGATATAAATCTGTAACCATGGTCTGTAATCTGTTATTTGTATACCAATTACATATTCCAATTGAAAATTATAACTAGTCAAAAAAATATTTATTTGTATAATTTTCATCAAAAAATTAAATATCACTTATTAATTAATCATGAAAATCCATCTTACCTAAAAAAAAAAAAAGCCATGGGGGGATCCATTCCCCATGTCACCTTCGTGAGGAGAACGCCCATGATTTAAAATATATACAAGCATGTTTAGTTAAAACAAACTTTAATTTATAAATTTTCATAGAAATTAGTTTTATTTCTCTGTATCAAGTAAAAATACAATATTTTTAACAAAGTTTACAAATATTAAAGGCAATTTTTAAAATAAATTTCTTAGATTACATTTTAGTTTTTCTGTCAGTCATTTCAATTAAGTATCAGTCATCTATCTACAATCATATGATTAGAAAGTAAGTATTTTGCATATAATAATCTAACAGATAATATATAATGTTAAACAAGATTTTTTAAAAACCAGTTAATTAAATACAATTTGGTATGGTAAGCAATTCTAATATAACATCACTTATAAAGAATACCTACTATTTTTTTTAGCTTAAATATTATTAAAAATGTAATACTTATATTTTAAAATTTTTTGTTAACAGTTATATCTTAGTATACTAGTTTAAAATAATAAATAAAATTCAGATAAAATAAATGACTAATTTCAAAAATTTTAACTTTTGCAATAGTTATTGTTTAAATTTTCAAAAAACACTTATTTAATGAAAAACATTTATCAGTTATTCCTGAAATGGTAACATAAAAAGGAATAAGCCAAAAACATTTGAATTTGATTAATATTTAAAAATATTAAATAATGATTTCATAAGATAAATCACAGTCTTTTACATAAAATAGAAGAATTTTTATGTATTGTAGAGCTCTTAATAAGTTCAAATTAATTGAAAAAATACAAAATATTAAAAATATAGTAAATTTAATCTACTATGTAAGTAACTCAGAGTTATTTTAAAGTTACATATCAAAAACAAATACATAACTCTGATTATTTTTACAATTCCATTGAAAAAACTATACATAAATATGGCAAATAAATACATAAAAAAGAGAATACCAATTTAATACTTCATAAGACAACTACCATACATAATCAAACATTTAAGCACCCTTGTTTCACATACAAAATATCAATTAACTCCATTTTATTATTATTTTCATATACTAGATAACATCATGATAATACAAAGCTATTTATTAGATGAATATTAAGCTATTACCTTCATTAACCAATTGATGTGCTCTACAAATCAACTCTAATTGATTTTTCTCCATGAATTCTTCAGTAATCTTAGACCCAAATAACCATCCAGCACCACGGGGACTAATTGTCCATTTATCAATATCTTCTGGATCAGACCATACTAAATCACAGAATGCCCCTGTAATAAAGTTTAAATAATTACTATTTTGTTTTATAAAATGAAATAATAATCAACCATCAGCATAAAATAAATTTCAAATTAAATTATAAAAATATAAATAATAAATAGTTTATATCCGTTTAATAAACATATACTGTTTTAAAATTTAAAATCTATTTATTTTACAGAAAATTAAATTAATAAAAAAAATATAACCTTATTATAATAAATAGATCTTATATGGAAAAATGTTTTTTAATTAAATTTTAATATATTGTTGTATTACCTTTATATGGAATTTCTTGATTGCGTTCTATTACTCTGATTTGGTCTAATGTAGAAATATCAGGGGATAAACCACCATGAACACAAAATACTTCTTCATCTATCAACTGAAATTTTAAAAAAATTATAACACTTGAGTTCTGTAATAAACTTATGGTAAAAATTGATCATACCGCAGAAATAGATAGTAAATCAAAAACTTTACAACATTCTTTCCACACATTTGCATTGCCATATTTATTCATACATTCATCTGAAATTTAAAAAAATATTTAATCATTTCAATTTTTTTAGTTTCATATACAAACATATTAAAATAAAACTAACCATTTTCATCTAAAATCACATTGGAAATTGTTTTATAACTTAAACCATACTTTTAATCTTAGTAGCATAGGCATGCGCAAACGTTGTCCGCATGGGGGCCCCTTAAAAAAGTGAACCAAAGATTCTTGTACTAAAGACTACTAGTATAATTAAATATTTTAAATTTTATAAATTATTTATTTAATTCAATATGCAAATATAAAAATAAATACTATTTAAACTTATACAATTTATATCTAAGAAATTCTTATTTACATAATATTATACTATTTACAACTCCATTCTTCTGTCCACGGGAGTAAGGTTTTTGAATATATCAATTACATCTTCAATTTTTATATTATATGCAAGTTCTGATTAGTCTGATTAATAACTGGCTTTACTTTATTCATGTAAAATGTAAAATATTTGGTATCTTGTATAATATAGATATACATTTATTAAAGAAAAAGCCAGAGTCCGCAGGGCGTGCTGCGACCCACCCAGCCCCCCCTCCTGTGCGCACGCCAATGCTTAGTAGTAAAAGATAAATTGTATAATAAGTTCTTTATTTAGTATTATAATTCTTAATCTATATGTATGTAAATTATATTACTACCATATGAATATAAAAAATTATATTATACCATGGAAACAATGTCTTATCTTTTTTAAAAAAAAATAATTGCATGGTAAAATTTATAGATTTAAAAGAAATGTTTGAAAAATAATTTTGATGAAAGTTAGGATAATGATTTAATTCCATAAGTGAATTATTCTATTATTTGTAAAATAAATTCTTCATCTGGACACTACAAAAAAAATAATTAAGATTCCATATGGTTAAAAATTAACATATTTAAAAATGCTATATATATATACGATATGATGATAATATATAGAGTATATCATGTTTTTAAAATTTCATAAAACTTATATTAATTATTTCCTGAATACAAGTAAATAATTATCCATTTTTTATAATTTGTACAATATTAAAACCATAATTATTTTTAACTGATGACTACAGAAATAATATAAATCTATGATCTATAAGTTAATTGATAAATTAATTTATTTAATAAAAATTCTTAAACAAATGTTTAACCTTAATGTATTACAGAAGTTACTCAAATCAAATAAAAATAAAAATATAAATTTAAGAATGTTGTTAACAATAAATAAATAATAATACCATAAAATCCGTAAACTTGTGTGATCTGTCTGGACTCATGATTGCCTCGAAGTAATGTAATACGATGTGGCCACTTTGCTTTTAGAGTTAGAAGTCTAGTCAAGGATTCTAAACTATAGTATCCACGGTCCACAAAATCTCCCATAAACACATAGTTTGTGTCCGGAACTTGACCTCCATTTCTAAACAATTCTTCTAGATCATAAAACTAATGGAAAGAGGGATTAACAAAGGACAACAAGAGTGAATAGAAAAATAATCAAGAGTCGATGAAGTGTAATGCAAAACATTTACTTGTCCATGTATATCCCCACAAACTGTCACCGGAGTACTGACTGGCTGGATGTTGGCTTCTTCGATTAACAAATCACACACAATCTGACACAATTTCTAAACAAAAATTCGCACAACATTAATACCGATTGATAGTGAAATGTCACTCATGAACTTTGCCTTCAGATCGTTTTCTGGTAAATATTTGCACTGTTTGGCAATCTCGAACCAATTTTCCCACTCTGGCATTTCAAAATATCCGTAGACCAGTTCAAATACTGCTAGATTACATTAGACGTTAATAATACTAGACTATTACATGGATAAATATCCTAAAGGGATCCGAATATCCGATCCGATTTCAAACGATTGAAAATATAATATAAAAATAAAACAACATTCAAGGACTTTTTATCACAGTGCTCGTCCATGCTTATCTTGTTTTTTTTCGGCACACCCAGTGTTGACCGTCTTTCAATGATAAAAACTGTAAACTAGTTAATACCATTAATGTAACTCATGACCAGACTACGGGTAGGTAGGACGGACGGAAACGGTCGGCAACTTGGCACTCTTACTAGCGCTACCAAAAATCATAATGAGTAGAACTGACCTAAGTCCTAACATCAACTAACGTTCAGTAATATTGTACGTTGCTCGTTAAACTTTAATAATTACAGACGTTTTTTATAATTTGAATATCCGTAACAACAACGCGTTTTACTAATTTCAATGATACGCCCTATCGCAAAAATCCGTGCCGGTGACTGTCGGGAACGGCGTGAAGGATTTTCGACTGTGAAATAAACAAAACGACATATTGTTGCTCGTAGCCGTTGATCGGTGTACATGGGCGTCTGGAAATAGCGCATGAGCAAATTCCTTATCAATTATCAGATCATATTTTTTATCAAATATCACATAATGTTGGAGTTCGCATATTGCAATAAGAAATTTGATAAAAAATTCAATTTAATTCGACACATTAACTTAAATGTTTGTGTCACAAGCAGGTAAATTAAATGATGTACAGCTATATAAAAATAATTTATCCCTAGACACATAGGCGCAACTAGATTCCAAATATTGGGAGTGCTGAAGTTATTGAAAATAAAATTGATGAATTTAAATCTTCCAGTCAGAATTTAATTCCCAGCACCCTGTCCCTGCATAAAATTGTAACACCGATCAAATATCATAATCGTTCATATAAACGATTCTCCGCAGTGGCTGGTAAAATTAATATTGTGCTCCAATTAAGGAATTAAAAGCTTTTCAGTTTAATTGCTTGGTACGTCGTATTTTTTAGTTCAGTTTGAAAACATTTATACTAATATTTATGCTGATTCGGTAATAATAATTGGCAGTTTAGATGAACGTATATTAAGTAGTATTGAGTAAATTACTTAAACATTTCACATGCGATGAGTTAACCGAGTTTTTCAGTAATTTACCGATAAAAAAGTGGCAATAAATAAAAATGTTTATTGAAGATCCTAAAACAAATATAACAGAAACCACAAAATGTATCATATGCATTTGTTTAAAACACTTTCCACACGATGTTGAATTCTATTGAAATATATTCTAATATTTATGTTCATTTTATTAGTATAACATATACATATATATATATATATATATATATATATATATATATATATATATAATTATTTGTAATATATTAAAATACTACAAAATTCTCATGCAGATGGCTTTAATATTTTTTTTTTATAATATTTTAATAATTTACACCGTCGCCAAGGATAATATATAATATACATAGAAATGCATGGTTATTGATTTGATTGTTAAAAATTGCATCATTACGATTTAATCTATGACATTTAGTTGCATTATTACATCGTACTTTTGTTCTTAATATTTAATAAAAGAAAGTTGTAGCAGAATATACATTGCATCATCCGCTGGACGTAGTGAAATCTGTTTCCATATTTTCCTATCTGGAAGTCAACTGTGTTTAAAGTGTTTAAAGAATAAAATATATAATACTTGGAATATGTGCTTTGGTATATTCTTCAGGTATACCTTCTATAATAGAATAGTACTTCATAGAAGTCATGATTTAGAAAAGTGATTAAAAGAAAATCATAAATCACTAACCTATTATAAAAGATTCTACGTTAAATTACCAATCAATGATACATTCTTCATTTTCTGTCCCAGCAACGTCTCAAACTTTATCTATAACTAATTAGTCTACAGACTTACTATATATTTTTATAAAAGTTATTAATATTTAATAAAAAAAAAAAACTAACCAAATAATGACATCAAAATTAAATTAAATTTCAAAATGTCCTTGGTGAACTGCTTTTATTTATATTTACATAACATTTTATAAAATATTCTTAGGATGATAATCTATGGGATGGACAGATTGTAAACAACTATTTTCAATGAAAATTTAAAATTGATAAAATATAAATCGGATTATTAATTATAAGAGTAGGTGGTTAACTGATATCAATTTTCTCCTTAACTCTTGATCTCCTGACAAACTATCTTTCATTTCCTTCATCCTTATATCTAGCTTCCTAATATAAACAATAATTTGTAACTGTCCTTTCCAACTTATCCAAACACCAAATAATATGTTATGCTACAGTGGTTTATAGATAAAGGCATTTTAACATAAGCACAGTAAACGTCTGATTTGCCAATTATTGCCAAGCATATTTTTACATATATGTTATAAATAAGTGTAAAATAATTATATTTTGATTTCAGATTCTTTAAGCGAATTTTAAGTCTTCTTCTTTTGGTTTACTTCAACATTTCATTTTCCAATTAGTTAGTTAAGTATATTATTTATCGATTTTTATTGTTTATGCACGGTATTTATATACTTGTCAAATTTTGATTGTTATTTGAAATTGTTTTTTTGAAGTTGTTTGAAACAAGAGTTTTCAAGTTGATTAATATATCGATAATCGAAATAGAACTTTTTATACAATGGCACTAAAATATATACGAGAAGAGGCGCATTACTATGTGAAAAAAGTCATGAGTTTGTCGTTCAATTGTTTATCATCCGACGAATTTATGGAGATTTTAAAAGATTTGAATGATTCTTCGATTCGACGAAATAAGGTATTGATTGTATAATTGATAGTTTATTTATAAAATTTGTATGTATTTCTATTTTAAATAGTATTCAAGTTATCATATAACAAAAATGTTTTTGTTTTAAATAAACCGGTGTTATATAAAACTAATATATTTTTATTAAATTAATTAATTAAGTAAATTAATTATTTCACAAAAATATAATTTATAATAAATATTGGAAAATTTGAATAACTTAGTTTATGGCTTTGAGTACAATAATACTTAATTAAAAATCCGAAAAACTTGTTTTAAATAAACTTGCTAAAATGTTCGACATTTTTTCTGAAAAGGAGAACTACCACTGCTAACTTATGTTTAAAGTAAATTGTTAATAAATACATTTTAAAATAAATATATAACTACAAGTAGTTAGTGGTACTTCAATAAATCGTACAATTGTTGGTCTGAAAAAAATCGAAAATGTTATTGATTCTACAGGAAGTATTTTCATGCATAATATCTAAATTACTCGACGAACGGACACATTTTCCCGGGTATTCGTATGATATCTTTATGAAGTTAGCCAATGTTTACGGCGGTCTCATTGAATATAACCTTATTTCGTAAGTAGTATTTGATGCATATTTTTTAACTAAATAGTTATATATTCAATCCGCTCGAGATGCCAATAACATCCTCGTGTATTAAAATTGTGTAAAACGTTTGTTCGTTAGCGATCCTGAAACTTTGAAAAATACTTTACAATTGGTCATGGACGCGCTGAAAAGTAGACCCAACTCAAGAATGTTCGATTTCGGTGTAGCGGCGTTAAACCGATTCTACGAACACTTGTGGGAGGATTGCGAAGAGTATTTCCGAAGCGTAGCCGCCATATCACACTTTAAAAGCTTTCTCCGACATTTAATCGAGGTAATAGTTTGCGTTGAAATCCGATGACAAACCATCAGCACTGTTCGTTGCGTGGACAGTGTTCGTCACAGGTCTTACATGTCATCGATTTTGGAACGTTAATTACGTTGTACGTTTCATGAAAATTGTTTGCAGTGGATTGAGGACCACGGGAAGCACACACCGGAACGCGCATATGATAGACCTGCAAGTGCCCAACAGTCATCTGTCGTGTTGTGCTCGCCCACAGGATCACCGGCCGTAAAGACGCGGTCGATCAACCTAGAAGAATTCGACTTCGAAAAGATTGGGGAGAGCCTGACCGACAAAGATAAAATAGTGTTCATCGTAAACAATCTGAGCGCGAAAAATCTACGCGAAAAGGTATTACGATTCGTCAGTTTGAACGACTATCATCACGCGTACAGCGAAACTCATTCGAATCGGAATATTTTTCATGCCTGGCACATAGTTCGGCCTCGAACGGACGATTTTCGGTGCACGCGTCTAAGTACGCACATTATTGTTGTAATCGATTGTTGTGCTCGTATTTCAGTGCGACGAAATCAAGAACATTTTAAAGGACGAATACATTCCGTGGTTCTCCGAGTACTTGATCGAGCAACGTGTTTGATCTGAATTCAATTTACACGATTTGTATTCAGACTTTTTAGATAGAATTAACAACGAGAAGCTAAACGCTCTTGTCATGTCCAGAACCATGGACAATATTCAAGTCAGTAGAACTTTTTTATCGACTACGATGACAATGATATTAGTAATAATAATCAAAATTAAAAGTTCACATAATATTACGTTTTATCTTTTTAGATACTGTTGGACAGCAACACGACGAACAGCAGGGCTCTATTGAAGAATTTCGGTCATTGGTTGGGCATTATTACGTTGGCGAGAATATACCCTTACCGTTATACGATGGCTATCTAAACTCATTGTTAATGAAAGCAGCCTGTAAAGGAATCGAAAGACTTACGTGTATTGTTCCATTCATCGCCAGGATACTTATGGCTTGTGCCAAAAGCGAAGTATGTTTATGCATTTATATATATATATATATATATATCGTTAGAAATCGTTAAAATGTTATTTACAATAAACCTAAGCAATAATAGTGTATTTTTATTTTAACGAGAAAAAAGATTGATTTAAAAAATTTAATTTAGTAGTTAACACAGTAACACACTTTTAGATTTTTTTAATTTGTAATTAGTTTAAACCTCAATTTCTGTATTTCTTTAGTTTTTCCATCGAGGATTATAGATTTATAAATTTATAATGTAGTTACCAAAGTATTGACTGAATAAAACAATTTTTATTTAATAATTGTTAAAACTGTTTATTTTTCTAACTTCTAATTTTTCTTTTTTCTTATATACTAACAGGTGTTTAGACCGAAAAGCTTATGGACATTAAGCATATTAAGAAGCCTTGCGGAACTTCACAAACAACCTGGTTTAAAGTTAAACATACAGTTTGAAATTGAAATACTCTGCAAATCTTTAAACATCGAATTAGGGGTGAGTTTTATCGACTAGCTAAATAACGTATTCATCTATCAAAAAAAAAAAAAAAAACCTATTGGTGAAAAATTAACAAGATAATTTTTCAAAAGAATCCATAACCTTACTTTACTCCTACCTTCATAAGTACCACTGCTCTTTTATTTTTGTTGCTTTACACTTAAGTGTAATCAATTGATGAATTTCTAACTTAGCTACAATTTAGATATTATTTACTTCGATCTAAATACGTGTTTAAAATTGCATAAGCTCATCTTAAAAGTTAGCAAAGACATAAGAGTTAATGGTAAAGATAAACCGGCATTACTGGAACTTGACCGGCACTCAGATCCTCAATTAACAATGTATTTTAAATTTCAGGATTTGAAATACGGACAAATTTAACACGAAGATAAAACAGCAGTTCAATATGATATATTATCGCAATATTATTTGAACATTTCTTTTTTATTTGTTCAAACATATATAATAAAATAATATATAATGTACAGGATGTTTCTGAAATGATTGAGGAAACTAGTATACGCGTACTCTCTGAAATGGTCAAATGAAGAATCTTTTGAAATTTTTTTCTATCTTCAAAACCTGGGTTTTATCTTATTATCTTTAGAATGTTATTTTAAATCTACAAATTAATACTCATAAAAGATTTCTTGCAAATTTTTCATGTCAATCGATATGTGACATCAATATTAGGCTTGTGACACGTTTTTCACGCCCGAGTCGCCAGGATCAGAAAATGTGGTGTGATAAATCGATTTGTTTGAAAACTCTGTAAGATAAACGAAGGTGAAATTGATTTGTTGTTATTTCACATATATGATTAATTAACACGATTTTCATTGAATTTTAAAAATATAATTATAATAAATTATTAATATTTTTTATGAAATAATGAATTTTCATATTTTTTCTTGATGTGATTGTATTTATATTTTCATTACTTATTCTACACTAAACTTTTTTTTACTCTCGAAATTAAATATTTTTGAGAGATAAATTAATATTTTGTTAAAATAATAATTATTTTGTTTTTAATTTTTTTTTTTTAATTAATTTTGCTAAAACCATTTGACTGATTTTTATCTTATAAGTGGCCTTCAATAACAAATCGTCTGATCAAATTATTTTTTTATTTTCATATTATAATTTATAATTTATTTATGTACTTATCACGCCAGTCATCGCCAGCTATTGGTTAATATAAAATTAATACATCAACGTTACCTAGCCCGTAATAATAATAATAATAATAATAACTAGAAAACATGCTATATATTCCGAGCCCGTCCAGTAGATTGATATTTTTGGTAAACAATATTATTTGGTCATCGTTTTAATTGCATGTTATTATATATAATATAAACTTGTTTTCTATACCGTAGTCTTAGAAAATGTCTAAGTACTACAAGTATATTTTTGTACATTATACACTCGGTACCGGTACAAATTCCTAATTTTAAAAGTATTGTGTATAAAATTATAATGTCATAGCAGGTCGACACACGTACAACCATTTCTATAGTTCTTCACGCGTTAATCCGTCCGTCGCGAAAAAAAAAATCTGACAACCATACACCCGAGGACTTTATTGATCGCCCAGAATGGTTCAAGGGCCACACACGACACCAGAAACAGGACGTAGCAAAAAAGATATTGAAACCAGTAGAGGTCGTGCCTGCCACGCATGTGATCCGATAAACACTTGTGTGTACTTCCAAAATATTTCAAACTTGGTACCTTATTTTAAATGCCAGTAAATCGATAGCTATCGCCATTCAATTTAATAACCGTGAGGTTAGTATTAAATTACAAGTTATGGTGAATGGGACCCACATTGCTAATGACGATTTTCCTAGATACCTGGGAGTAAAACTAGACAGGACATTGACTTACAAACAGCTCCTAGAAACCCTTTAAGACAAATTTAAGACTCGGAATAATATAATCTTTTAACTGGCAGATACAAGTTGGGAATGTAATGCAAACTCTGACTTAAGTATACAGTAGAGCCGAGTATTCCGCTCCCACATGGTTCTTTTACTCTAATTTTATCATATTTATAAATGTATGAAAACCTTATCTATATCTTCCCTGGTTCATCTCTCAAGTTTTGTCTAAAATTATAAATCCATAATTTTTTTTGTTTCAACATAAATGACATATTTTACGAAATTGAAAAGAACGAAAACGATACTACAGCTACAGGTACTGTCACTTTCAATAAAGTCATTTAGAAAATTCCACAAATAATGAAGAATTGAATATTTTTTATATCTGCTAAAAATCTAAAAATGGATTTAATACCCATTTTGGTATAATCATATCTTTGATATCTTTAAATCTAGTTAACATATTATCCTTAGAGATCCATTATAAACATAGTATATTTCTAAGTCAGAATCTAAAAAATATGTTTTAAGTTTGATAATTTTAAAAAAATGATTAAATTCTCGATGATTAATTTCTTCTTTAAAAATACTTATTTTTGAAATTTATGCACTAATAATAGACTTGGATTTAATAAAATTGATATTATCACCATGCAAATGTTTGTTGACTTTGTTAAATTTTTCAAAATGATCTGATAGATATTCGATATCCATTTCTTCTTTTTTAAAATTCATTGTAGAATTGTTAATCAAGTGGCTGTATAAGTTCTATTATAGTTCTAAATACATAAAAGTATGTCAAACAATTTCCTGTTGAAAGCCACCTAACTTTGTTGTGTAAAAAAGGCATTCAAAAGCTTCATAATTTTCATGGCATAATTGTTGAAACAATCGACCATTTAATGATTTAGCTTTGATTTTATTTACAGCATTGATGACAAACTGCATATCATCAAATTATATTTTACTAAATGTTGCTGCTAAATGTTAACAATTACTTTTGCACTATACGCAGTGATATATTTCATTGTAATAAGGTATGCACAGTAAAAATGAAAATAAGAGTAGAACGCATCCCTTAGCAAAGTGGCGTAGCTACACAGGGAAGGGCCCCGGTGTCGTATGGCTCCCAAACTGATATTAACCTTACATGAAAATTCAAGGTATACCTACACATTATATTGTTTTTTTTTTTTTAATGTGAATAGTTATTTATTACGAAATGGTAAATAAAATTAAATGCCAGAAAATTAACAGATGTGAAGAATAAAAAGAAAATTCCGTTTATTAGGAGGTACCTATTATAAAAGAAAAACAAATATTGCGTGTATTATTATTATTCTGTTTCAATACTGATTGTTACTAGAACCACCACGTACGATTAGGAAAGTTAAATACCATCAACATTGTTAATTATTTTAGGGAAGTATAGTTTCAGAAATGTTCAAGGTGCCACTTGTGCTCCGGGACCCCAGGGCACTGCCCCGCTTCGCCCTATGATAGCTACGTCACTGCTTTAGCATCCTTAAGTAAAACGCCCTCCTCGAAATTGAAAAATATCACAATGGGACGGAACCGCGCACATTGGCAAACGCTATTACAATCGGCGCCTTACACGCAGGTGCACGACATATAACGACTTTATAGTTTTTTTTTTTTTTTTGGTCATCGCGTACGCTCATAAGACTTATTGTGTTAATGTACTGTAAGAGCAGGGACGGCCTGGGAGAAAAATTCAGGCCGAGAAAATTTATTACCCAGGCCATACATTAATGTTCAGCTTAAAGGCCGTTACTTACGAGGTGTTTCGACGACTTAGAAACATAGAAATATAAACATAAACATTAATCATACAAAGATAGTAAACGAGAAAGCGTAAAGTGTTATTCACAATCTTGAAAGATCTTTGATTTTAAGCATTGAACTCCTAAAAGCTTATTATATACATTGTGATTTTTAATCAAATAAAGTTATCTAGAACATTATACGATGTTGTATTGTCGACCCAAATTGATTAAGATTTAAAAGTATTCCCGATGTCGTTAAACAAAGTTATTTACAGTACAGATGGGTGTACACACACACAGAAAGAAAAAGGTTTATTTTATATTATACTTCTATTACCTACTTTTATATTATACCGTTATTTTCCCAAAACTTGTTTGTAAAAGAAAACCTCCACAATCGCTCAAAATAACGCCAAAATTAATTGACCGGATATCAATCGTTTTACAGTTATACAAATGATGTATTATTCTTAAGTTTATAAGCTGGTAAGAAAAATAGATTAATATCGGAAATATGGACGGTTTTACATAATAAAATTATGACCATTAGCCTATGAGAGTGCGTCGAGTCTAATTCTGACGGGTCGATCGACCAATCTCCACAGTGGATTCAATCTTGTTGAAATAATAGTGATCGTGCGACGATATAATGTAACGCCAAAGCTCACTCAGCGACGGCGGTTTGAATTTTTAAACATTTCTCGTTTCTCATTCGAACTCGAAGGACGGAAGTTTTTTTCCAATTTGGTCGGTTTTGTTTGACAACATTTCAAAGGTGAGTGAAAAAATTACAAATTGTTCTACCTACTTTTACAGCGTTATATCTTTATGATTATAATTGTATTTATTTATCTGTTTTAGTAATATATTTTATAATTTTATTACGTTTTAGATCCCAAGTTTAGTAACAATAAGTATTTATATTTTTGATTCAATAATTACTAAAAAAGGTTATACATTTCAGTATTTAAAACCAATACTTTTTGATATTCGTATTGGTAGAGATATAATAAATAATTAGCATCAGATGATGCATTCAACCATTCTCAGATGTTCTTGAATTCTCATTGATTATGACTGCAAATTATACATTTATATAAATCGACTGTATATAATATATATATATATATATATATATATATATATATATATACTATATATAATATATACTTTATGTCAGGGATGGCAAATTATTTGAACGCTACGTGCCAAAAATTACCTATTGTAAGAAATTATCGTCATTTTATTATATAATTAATGTGTTAATATAAAGAAGGTTAGCTCCGTAAAATGGGGTGAATTGCAAAAATATTTGAGTTTACCCAACTCTAAACTTCATTTAAAAATCAGACATTTATACTACCATTAAGGGAAACCCTTTTTTAGAATTTTTGGTACCTTGTTTATCATTATAATTGTAACAAAGTCATATAAAGAAATATAAAAAAATAATATTTAAATATAGTTGAGAAGTATAACTTATAAACTTTTTTTATTATATTTCTTTATACGGCTTTGTTACGAATCACCTTTGACTGGGTTGAATTAAAACATTGTGTTAGAAATCATGTTTTATTAATTTAAAATAATTCACGGATAAATTGAAACCGGGGCCTGACTAAGTTCACTACGTCTCGGCCATGGTGTCGAGCAATTTATGGATCACCAACATGAATCTTGCTAATAACCTACCCAAATAATTATAGCGTATGTTGTATCAGAGGCGTATGTAGAAAATATTTTCGGGAGAGGCTACTATGGACAGAGTTAAATTATCACTGACATCTAAGAATTACTAACAAGACACAGTAGGTACTTATCTACATTTCATTTACAGAATATTCCAAAACAATTTGGCGTTTGACGCAAATTCTAAATAAGCATAAAGCACCATTAAATTACGAGTATAATATACGTTTAAAATAATTTTTGAGTTTTTTTAAAACATTTCGGAGGGGGGGGGCGGATAGGCCCATAGGGAAAAAGGGATTTTCCTTTTGGGCCCTCGCCCTATATTATGTTGGTAGCCCCCTCGACACCATTAATTTTTTCATGGAAATTTATTATTTTTTTTTTATAGATAAATTATTTAAATTAAATTAGGATGGGTAAATATAATATATTTTATAAAAGCAATTTTTTTTTCATTTTGATGGCCCCATTAAAATATTTCCCTGTAATAAAATAACTACCTATCCACCTCTGGGGGAGGTGTAGCCCACTAGGCACCCCCCCTATATACGCCACTGTGCTGTATAGTTTTAACGAGTTTACAATAAAGTGAACACTACAATATTGATCTAAAACGTAGACAAACAACATTTTCAAGAAAGATCCATAGGCTATAAATAATTATTTTCATTTAGTCTGTGGAATAACCATGACTGCGTTTACATTGTCTAGTGGCGCCGAACACTACGCATAGGCCACAGAAAATATTGCGACGGCACTGACTGCATTTTACGGTATCTAAACTAACCTCTGATGTATTCAATCGATTTATGTAAATGTATCACTAGATAGGTACTTATATTAGGTACTTAATACAATAATATTACTTTGTTAATTATTTATTTTCTTAATATGATTTTTTTTTGTTGAATTCTTAATGCCAATTTATTGATATTTAGTTTATAATTACCTAGTCATTTTTAATAGAATATTATTAGATACGAATATGCTGCACTACATTCATCGAGTAGTCCTTTTCTTAAATCATATTTGATAAAATTAATTTCTGAAAATAGTGACTCGTTTGAATAAATTGAAGAAAATAATAGACAAAACAGCTAATGATTTTATTTTTAGAGTGGAATAATTTTGCCTATGACTCCCATCGCGCTGGATTTCCTTTTCAGTATAATACATTTTCCTCTCCATATGATACTCGACTAAAAATCTACAAGCTGCATTTCAAAATCATAGACTATGTATAATGCCTTGAATTAATTTAATTTTTACTTTCACAGTCGAAGAAAATGGCACCAGACAAGACTAAGAAAATGAAAACCGTGAAACAGAAAATCGAAAAGCTAAACAAAATTCCCTGTGGAGTTTCAAAAAGAAAAGGTAAAGAGCAAGCATATTTTAATTGTTAAGAATTTATAATTTGTATTGTTTCTTGTTGACACCATTTGATCATTTTAATTCATGAGTGTAAATTGAAACTATACAAAAAAAATATTTACGTTTTTCTGTACACAAAATATATTTTGACATGAAATAGATACCCTCTCGTATAATTTTTTTTTTTTTATTTATATATGGTTAAATAAATTATCAAATTCGTTTAATAGGTAATTCAGTTGGGGAAATTTTATACCATATACTATAGCTACACAATCGCAAATAAATACCTATTATTAAGTTCTCACGTGTTCCATCGAATATATTCTGCTTAGAGAATAAATAAAATAAGAATTTTGAATTATAAAACCTAAATTGTTAATTAGAAAAAATCTAAATCCCCGTGAAAGTTACATTATAAAAAGAATGTCCCAATGACAAATAGATGGATATAAAATTATCTATAAATATTATAACGAATATAACACTAGCTTTAGGTACTGATATATGTTTTGCAGTATTTGCAGTATATATTACTTTATAAGTTAAGAATAAAAACTGTAGACACTAATTAAATTAAAATAACCAAGAATTATAAATTTAAGAATTTTTTTTTTTCATAATTATTTAGTAAATTTGTTTTTCAAAGGTGAAATATATCAGGATTTGTTCAGGGAATGTATTGTTGCTATACCTGAAGTACCAAAAGATATAGTCATATGTAAGCCCAGTCCAGTATAAGCAAGTTCTTGATAAAATCAAAGGTGATTTTACTAATATAATATTGTGTTGTACCCATAATTCAATCAAATTCACTTATTTATTTATTTAATGACTATAAAGTAAGTATTTTATAACAATAAAATATTATTGTATTATATTATAATACTATTATTGATAAGATTATGTTGTTTCATTTATTTTTTTCTCGACTAGTTTAGTTTCTTGTACTGAGATCTATTTTCTAAAACACAAATAATATCCATAAAATTGAAAGTTTATTTATACAACAAATATCACGAGTATATTATTAAAAATTACATAGTTTTACAAAATTGTAATATTATTTACAAACACTACCTTAAAAATTAATAACTATTAAAGCAGAATAAATAATGAACATCAAATGTATGTGTAGCTTAAGTATTTTCTACAACTGCTATGATTTTCAAATGCTCTTAATGCAGTATAGTAATGTGATAGTAATTCATATTTCATACTAGTTAAAAAAAGCTGTTAACCATTAAATTATGTTAAACTTAGTACAAAATTTAAATCTTTAAAAATATTTTTTTCAGTATTTCGTAATACTATTATTGTTGAGTAAGTAATAATTTTAGGCACCAAATTATATTTTTTTCAAAATAACTTTAAATTTTGGTTATATAATAAAGACTATTATCATTGGACAGCTCATTAAATTTATATTAATATTATTTTTCATAATGAAATGTTAATTAACCTAAACACAAATTATATTAAAAATCACTTTGTCATCATTGATAAACATTTTAATGCTCAATGCATTTATTAATTATGCACTATATTAAATGATTTACAGAGCAGGAATGTAAAATTTAAAAGAATAAATAACAGAAAATACAATATTAATTCAGTCACCTCAAAAAAATAATAACTGAAATATATAAATTGACCATTTTTACAGTTTAAATTAAAAATAAAATAATAACAATTTATTAATTAATAATAATATTAAATAAATAACCCAATTTTAACAATAATTTAAGGTATTAATTATTCACTGCAAAATATATTTATATTAATTTTTCCATTGATATTTGCTTTACGGATTCCAGTTTTATTAAATAATCACATGTTCCATTAGTAAAATATGCACGTGGAACAAATTTTTTTTAAATTCTTATTTTCATTTATAATATATTTATTTATATTTTTGTAACAAGTACTGCACAGTCTTCCAAGATTTTTAATTATAATTTAAATACAAATAGTGCTTTCACACATTTGGTGGTTGCCTATTAGGTCTTCGTAAATAAATTATATAAGAAAGTAATGCAAACAGTACTGCTATTAAATATAAATCCCAATTGAAACCCATAGGTGCTGCAACATCGTTTGATAAAATAGACATAAAACTTAGAAAATTCTGGAACACATAATAAATTACAATTAATAATAATATGTAATAAGCATTAAATTTATCTACAGTTCTTACTGTGTAATAATAGTTGACCAAGTGACAAAAGTTGAGTTTTGATAAAGCTAAAAATACAGGTACTTTTGCATCTAGACTGGTTTCTGCAGCCATGTCATAACATCGTTTTGCCAAATGAATGTCCTGCACAAATATAGATAATTGTAAACAAAAATATTCCGTGATACTAAGTAAAACAAAAATGTTATACTTGTTCCATTCCCAATCCCATTTCGTGCATATAACCCAAATTGAACATTGCTTGGGCATTGTGATGTTGTTCAGATGCTTGTCGGTAATGATTGGCAGCCATTTCAAAATCAACTTTAGTACCTAGACCATAATAATGATAATCTCCTAGTTTTAATTGAGCTGCTGCATATCCTTGAGCAGCTGATCTACTCCAATACATCATTGCACGAACATAGCGTTCTTTCTCAGTTTCCCAAAGGTTAATATCACCTTAACAATAATAATTAATTTAAATAATGTTTTGTTAAGTATAACAAGAAAATGAAATGAAATTTAATATATATATATATATATATATATTTATGTATAATAATTACCTCTATCTAATATAAAAGCAGTATTGCTTTGGGCAACCTCATAACCCAATTCCGCCAAGAAAGAATACAAAACGAATGACTCTTCAAATTTATTTTCTTTATAAGTATTGTAAGCATGCATTAAATATCCACCCCATTTACCACGTTCAGCAACATTTTTGAACAGCTGAAAAATAAATTTCTAGAGTAATTCTGTATTTACAGACAGTTAAATAGTATACTTCTAGAGCAGTTGTACAGGAGCGCAATACACCAATACCGGATGCATGCATTTGTGCCATATTAAAGTAAGCTAACAAATTGCCAGATTTAGATGCTAAACCAAAGTTTTTAACTGCTATTTTATAATCACGTTTTACACCCAATCCCTCTGAAATTAAAAAATATATAAATACACAATTTAAACAAGAAGTCTAATTTCAACTTACTGTAATAGATGATTCCTACATATAAATGCCCTTCAACCCAACCTTGTTCAGCAGCCAAAGTAAACCAATTCAAAGCCTCTGAATAATCCTGGGCAACATTTAGACCATGTAGATACATATAACCCAAACCACTTTGCCCAACAGGATTTTTTAACTTAGCTGCTTTATAAAAGTATTCAAGAGCTTTTTCATAATCAGGTTTAATGCCCTCGCGCTCTTCTAAAAATATCTATAAATCAATAATTGTATTTAGTTATCAATTTGAATAGTTAGAAGTAGTAATAAATAGTAATATTATTATTTTTATTATTATTACCTTTCCAAGATAACCATATGCAAGAGCATTACCATTGTCTGCTGCTTTACGAAAATAATGTTCAGCAGTTTCTAAATTAATTGCTACACCTCTTCCACCTTGTAAATATAACTGACCTAAACCAACCTATTCAAAACAAAATATTTGAAACGTTATCAATATATTGTACCACTAATAATTAATTATATAATACCTGAGCTTGAGCATCTCCTTTGTTAGCCAACATTTTATAATAATCCAACAAATCAGAATCTACTATTCCGCTATTATAATTTGGATTATCTAGCTCTTCCATTAACTTAATACGTTGAATGAGTGGCCCACCAGATAAAGACAATTCATTGGCAACTAAAATTATTAACCATATTAATTCATCAAAACTAGCTATTAAAAGTGTTATAGTAGTAAAAGTGTTTCTTAAAGCATGTTTTCAGACTTTTAAATAGTACTTTGACTATGAAAAATAAATTTGGAACAAAAATTCTTATATAAAAAAATAACTTTGTTAGAAAATATGAAGAACATGCAAAGCAAACATGAAGTTATTTTATTGATTCAAGGGCATACCCAAGGAGGGTTTCGGGTCCGGATCCCCTATTGAAATTTCTACATACTAAACAATTTTATAGTAAATAGTATAATAATAGTATATAGTCTATATTAATTTCCCACTATCAGATAAGATAAAAATGTTGGACCCCCTTTCATAAAAAATTCCTGGGTACGCTCCTGTATTGATTTAATTGATTTTTCTAACTAAATACAATATTCTAATAAATTATTATGGAAAAATTGAAATTTAATAATGATATCATTGAGAGACTATTTGTGTACTTTTTTTTGATAGAATTTTTGTCTCTCTGAATTGTTTAAAAAATATTTATATAAGTTTTTTAAAAGTCTAAGATTATGTTGTTATTTCTTATTTCTTAATAAAATAAGTGCAAGATTAATTACCATTATTTGCAACTGCTCTATAGTATTCCAAAGACTTCTCACAACTATAAGACACAGTGGCACCAGCAAAATATCTGTATCCCAGTGCTAGCTGAGCTAATACATTACCGCCAACAGCAGCCATAACATAATGTACAAGTGCTTTTGGCTGGCTCACAGGAACATGTAATCCAACAGCATACAAGAAACCTAAGCCCTACGTTTAAATAAAAATAATAGCCAAATATATTTATAAATAATATTAATAGTTATTTATAAAAGGTATTTACTAAATGAGCATCTGGATTTCCTTTATTAGACAATTCGTTAAAAATTGAATATGCTTGGGGTATATCTTGATTGTATTTCAAGCCAAATAATAAGGCAAATGCAAATTTTGCTTTAGCTTCTTCATGATCTAAAGTATAAGCTTTGTAAAAATACTCATATGCATCTAAATGATCTCCGAGGGTTGATTTTAATTTTTTCAACCCGGTTTGATATAGTTGTTCCGCTACAAAAAAATTTAAAATAAATTACTTAGTAATCATTTTCAGTGCTCAAATTAAATAATTTAACTAAATTAGTTAAATTACATACCTTCTTCTTCTCTTGTTGAACTTGGAGGAGCTTTGATTGGTTCCTTCCAATCCGTAACAACAATATCATCATCAAAATCATCATCATTTTTTAAATGTTGTACATTAACATCATCATTTGACATATCCGCCCAATAACTGAAGAGACCATTAGTAGGAAATTTGATTAACTGTAAATTATCACCACTATCGAAATCTTCCGATTTCAATTGTTCTTGAGATTGATCAGAAGGTTTTTCCTAAAACGATTGAACACACGAAATACAATGCATGAAATATATATAAATGAAATAATATTACCTTTGACAAATCAGGAGCCTCGACAATTTTCATGGCAGCATTACTGATCAACTGTAGCATACGAGTAGTAGCATCATCCTGTTCATCTACTTCGTTGGTCCTTACATCAGATATATCGTAACTGTCATCTTCATCATCTTTGGATTTCTTTTCTTCTTTGTGTCCGCCAACCAAGGTGACAACCAATATAAAAACGAGCCATAATAACAAACGTTCCTTCATTGGTGGATCTGTAACACACATTACACATTAACAATGACATGTCAATTTTGACAGATCTGAATAAAGTTAAATACATTTGTAAAAATGCTCATACACCTACAAAATTTAGACTCATACCATTTACGTGCAATAACCACACGAGACGAAAAATTTAGATTTTTGACGTTTCTACTGATGCCTAATGAACTTAGATATTGAGGAACGTTCAATGATAAAAATGTTCAATTCAAATTCATTACTCCACCAAGAAATTCATATCAACATTATTGATAAGATTCCCCGTTTAGCACCACTAATCATTTTAGTTCTTTGACAATCTACTAGATAGAGATTAATGGCTCCGGAAAATGGGAAAATTTAGACCTTTTCAACATTTAATTTATCTCGACGGGGTTGGATTGTATTGATTTATACATACACGTTCACCGACTGCTTAGAAACCGCCAGCAGACATTAAATGATCGATCATCACAAGAAAGAACTCGTATTGTTACACCTATAGTTCTTTATAGTTTGAATAAAGTAATCGAGGACAAAATAATTTACATACGTGGTGCTTTTGGATTTGATAATAATGTTATTGTTATTGTACCGATTTCCTATCACCTTGGTCATCATCTGGACGAGAGCAGTGCGGTTCACTTACACGGTAATAAAAGGGAAAGGAAACAATCGTTTTTTATAAAATAAAAAAATTAACTTTTTAAAATAATTAATTCAATTATTGAACGTGGCTTTTATTTTTCTGGCAGACATTTCCGTTCGCAATATGATAAACGCTTGACTACGATTTGTATTCGGTAATCACTGACTGATCACGCACTCGGTATAATAATATTACAATGGTTTTCGTTGCAACCGAGCCATTTGCGTAACATAGGATTTATAACAGTGGCGCCCACAGGTTATCCATGAACCTGTAATGAATGGAAAAAAACCAAGAAAATTACCGGTGATGATTATACACATCTAAATCATTTATCTAACTATGTTATTAACTAATATATTACCTCTCCGATCCTCGTAGCGACTTCTCAGTAGAAATTGTGATTAGCGTCTGAACTATAGGATGAGGTGACCGATTTGTTTTTGAAATAACCAAGACTCGTTTATTCGTTTATTATTATACATTTTATTTAAACACACATGATAAATATAAAAATAATATGCGTAAGAGCAATATGTAAGCGTTCGTGACATGAAGAGCTGCTCTGTCTGGAGAATCGATGATCGGCCTCCTTACATGTCATATTTTGTGAGTGTGTGATCCTTTATCGCTTTTTTGTCCTATACAATAACTATAACTTATTCTAATGCTTTCGATGATTATAATTATTTTATAATCATTTTAAATCTAAAAGATATATAATGGCTTAATCGCACATCATTCACACCAGTGCAGTTATAATTATACTAGGGCCACCAAATTTATTTTTGTCTACATCCATACGACCATATTCGTTTGATTCGTAAATTCGTTTGTTTGAAATAATTTTTTTTCAAATGGATGTTTACCTTAAATAAATTAAAAAATATTGCTAATTCTGATGTAAGTGACAAAGCATTAGCACAAACAATACTTGATAATCTTGAAATCATGGGACTCGAATTAATTTACTTAATTGGACAAGGCTACGATGGAACGGAGGCTATGTCCGGGAAATTTAATGGAACACAAAAACATATCAATGATAAATATCCGACGGCTTTATATATCCACTGTGGAGCACATAGCCTAAACTTGGCTATTTCATTTAGTTGTAATGTAACTGATATTCGAAACTGTATGGACACAATGCAATCTATATGTAACTTTTTTGGCTATCCTAAAAGACAAAATGTACTTAAAATATCAATTCAAAATGAATTACATGAATCAAAATTGAAAAAACTAAAAAAATTTTGCCCTACAAGGTGGGTTGAGCGCCATGACGCTGTATTTGTCTTTCATGAACTTCAACCTGCAGTTTTGGATGCACTTAATGAAATATCTACTTGGAAAGATACTGAGATTTCTGCTTTAGCTAACCAACTTAGTTCCTCCATCCATCGATTAAGGTTTTAAGTAGCCTTATTGATATTAGTAAAAGTATTTGCAATAACTGCTCCTTTGTGCAAATTTCTTAAAACTAAAAATTTAGATTTAGAATCTGTCCTAGAATTTGCTGATATGACTCAATAAACTATAAAACAAATCCGTGATAATGCTAATGTTGAGTTTGATGATATATTTAAAAATTTTGAAGATGTCTGTATTAGTTTTGATATAACTGTTAGTGTTCCAAGAGCAACAAGTCGACAAAAAAATAGGATTAATGTTATGAATAATAATCCAACAGAATATTATAGAGTCTCAATATTCATCCCATTTCTTGATAATTTTATTGAACAACTCCATGGACAATTTCTTGAACATAGGGTCAAACTAAAAAGTTTCAATTGCTTATTACCTAAGACTAGCAAACAAATATCCGAAGAAACTTTTGAGGACTTCAAAATTATGCACAATTTTTATACTGATATATTAAGTTACAGCAACAATTTGACTAGCCTAGAAGTAAATTATGGTGAACTTAAACTGTGGTATAATAGTTGCGCATTCAAATCACCAAATTCGTCGTTAACAATAACCGAAGTATTTTTCCATTGTAATCCTGATTTTTTTCCTGTAATCTCAAAGTTATTGCAAATATTAATTACACTACTAGTCACAACAGCTACTGGAGAGAGGTCTTTTTCTTCCTTGCGTCACTGAAAAATTATCAGAAATACTACTGGTCAAATGAGACTAAATGGATTGGCAGTCCTCAATATACACCAGAATATTTATGTTAATCCATTGATGATAATTGATGAAATGGCTAAAACTTCAAAACGAAGACTCAATATTAATCTATAAGTGTTTTTTGTTTGTTTTTTTTTATAAATACGACGTTTATTGTTTTATTTCTTGTTATATATAACAATATTATATATACGACAATACTGATTGAGAAATTTATACAGTGTATATATTAATATTAATTATGTAATATTATTAACCAGGCAGGATTTTAGCTTATATGTATATTATAGTAATATAACATTGTAACCCCTCCCTGAAATTTTTTTCTAGTTGCGCCACTGCATATATACATGCCACTGGCTTGTTTTACAAAATTTATCTATTACTTCATCATAATTTATTTCTATATAGTAGTTACATAACATATTAACTTAATAGCATATAAATCTATCAACATTATTGTAGTTATCTATATTAGTTATATATTTATTTTAATATATACTTATATTTGTTTGCATATTTGGCATTGCCAACTCTTTACGTTTTATTCAACGGTCTAAAGATCCAGATTAATAATTATGCCTTTATGTTGTTTACTCCTGAGAACGGAGTGTTGTTCTTTAATGTATGTAGCCCCCAGGACCCACGAGATATCAGTACAATTTGGTATCCTACGTGGGCGTCACTGGATGTATATAATAGAATTATCAACGAAACGTAAAAATAGAGATTAATAATTTAACTAATTTATAGATGGAGAAAATAAAAATAAACAGCCATATCACACCTTGCAGTTTCGGTGTTTCAACAATCTGTCGAAATAGTATGCAGGAAGCACCGTTCTGTATTTTTACTTTTGTCCACACATCCATTTGTGTTACGTATTATGAAAAAATTGAATTAAATAATTTATTATGAAAGTATAACAACGATGACGGAGAAGATTCCTTTTAAAAGAGGGGGGGGGGTAAAATGTTTTCATTTTTTACGTTATAGGAAATTTAACTTATTTTTGAGAAAATTAAACGTATTAAGAATTTTACGAATCTTCAAAACTTTTTAACTTTTGTTTATGTCCGGACGGCTAATTTTTCTTATATCTTTAGTTGTCGTACCTTCCCCATTACAACAAGTCATCGCGGTAGACTCCATTTGTACCTGCTGCGGTACCACAGATAACATTAAAAATTTGATGATGCGTCTTGAACGCAGTTATCTAATACTTCGATGGAAAATGTGCTGCGTATTTCCGAGATGGCATTTTCAAGTTTCATTGGAAAAAATGCAACAATTTGAATGGTGATTATGTAGAGAAATAATAAAATGTATCTTTCATTTATTTATTTATTTATTTAAATTTTATACGGGGCAAGCCCAATTACATAAATATTACTAATAATAACAATCATTCGTTAATAGTCTTAAACAAAAAACGAATAAAAAAGAGAAAAAACAAAAAAAAACAATGATGTACAATATAAATGATAATATAATATACTTATAGCTATGAATTAATAAGTAATAAATTACAATATAACTTGAATGAGTTAAAATTTGGTGATATGAACATATTGATATTTAATTTGTTAATAGTTTTCATAATTCTAAGATGAGGGGTATTGCTTGCGAAATTAGTTACTTCTGTGTTAAGATAAAAAGTGTTTTTTGACCGGGAGTTACGAGATGGGGAATAAAAGAAGAAACGATTTAGAAACTCAGGACAGTCAATAAGTCCTGTAAAGAGTTTATAAGAAAAATATAAATCTAATTGCATACGACGTTGTTCAAGTGTTTCGATGTTGAAAAACGTTAATAATGGGGAGTACGAAAAATGGGGTTCTCTAAATATGGAACATTTAAATAAGAGGAAACGTAAAAACTTGTGTTGAATTTCTTCAATTTTATGTTTATGACTCGAATGGTATGGAGACCATATTATTGAGCCATATTCACTGATAGAACGAACCAAACTTTAAATCTAATGAATCATCGAAATCAGCATAGTTAAATCAGCATAAGTAAAATCAAAATCAATACCCTGGTCTGACTTTTGTCCAATGCTTAAAAATAGCGTTGATAAATTGTGGCTAAGATACTGGAAAGGTCTTCCCACTCATTTTGCCACTTGGTACAGAGACATTGTGCCATCCATTTCTCCTCTTCCGTGGTTTGATAAATCCAAACTATCTCGCAAAAATATTTCATCTTTCTCTCGTCTTCGTTTCGGACACACCTTACTACCCTCGCACTCATTCAAACTTGACCTAAATGATTCCCCCCTCTGTACTCGCCATTTTTCTCCCGCCACTTGCAATATCACCCACATTCTTTTTAACTGCCCATACATCTCCTCCCAACGCGAAAGCTTTCTCTCACAAATCAATTCTCTAAATATTCCAGCCAATCCTCAATCTATCCTCTCCTACAATTCTCAATCCATTACTTTATCCTTACTTAATTTAATCAACCAGGCTGGTTTCATAATTTAAATTTAAAAATTGAAAAAAAAAAAAAAAATTGTTCTTTTCTTTTGTTTCTAATTTAATAGAATATTATATATTTGTAATTTACTTTGTATATTATCATAATTGTTGAAACTAATGGTTTTAACCAAGTTTCCTAATAAAAAAAAAAAGTAAAATCAATGATTTTATTTGACATATTAACTATGTTCGTAATATGACAATCAAATTTGAGTTTGGGATCAAAATAAATACCAAGGTCTTTAATAGGCTCGATAGTCCGAGGTAGTGGTTTACCATTGAGATTATAATCAAAGAAAAAAACTACTCGAGCTCTATCTTATTTATTGTGTAAAAGATTTAAAGTAATAAATACATTTTTCATTATTCCGTACATTTTTGTACCTTTTTATCGGACAACCTACGTATCTACTAATGCTACCAGTACACCATGGTCCGGTCTACATCAATCCGATCGTATACAAATTGGTGAAGGATTGGTTCAGTCGGACTCCAAATGTTTATAAACGATTTCGGTTCGATATCGGTTTAAACAACAATCATTTCAGTTCAGTCTTAATTCTCAAACTTAAACAGATCGGGTAAAAATATCCTAGGAAAATCATACTCCCCTCGAGGTACAATATTCCTAGTAAATTCTTACCGGGAAGTAAGATTATCCTAGGATATTCTTACGGGGGGTAAAAATTTTCTAGGATAATAGTACCCACTTAAGAGGGTATAATTAACCTAGGATAATCTTACCGGGGGTAAAGATAATCTAGGATAATTATACAGGAGGTAAAATATGCCTAGGAAAATCTTGATCCCCCCTCCCCTGTAATATTTTCCGGGGGTATGATTTGACTAGAACAACGGTCCAAAAAAAAAAAATTAGCAGTCACTTCGGTCCGACTCGGTCCTTTATTAAAATTGTCCGTCCAGTCTTGTCCGGTTCCCAAAATTACGGACTGTGCAGAGCATCAGTACCTACTTATTTATTTTCGCCGTATAACGTTAATGGGCTTTAGGACCATTAAATGAATTAGGTCATTGAAATATAATATAATAAAATTCACAGTTTGTTGTTATAAATAACACGATCACGTCATAAATATTAGTAAACATTTGTGAACCATTTAAAATGTCAAGTGCCTATCAAATAGCACAAACGTCATTAATAGTTATATTTCAAAAATATTATGAAATTTCTATAAAATGTTAATAAAAATACTCCGCAATAAATGTATCCAGGTTAGTGTCTCCCTCCAAATAATGAGTACTAAAAAAATTTTTTTTATTGCCTATTATTTAGTTCTAAATATAGTTTTTTTTTTTTAAATATTGTTTTTTCCAATGGAAGTGGCACTTACCTCCAGTACACCATCCTGGATCCACCTATGCACCGAATGACCAATGACTGAAAGCGAACGAAATGAGTGAACACCAAAATAGTAAATAACAATTTAATAATGAATGAGAGTTGCTACTCGGATTAATACAGTAGAACCTCATTATTCCGGACTAATTGGGGCTCTAGGTTGTCCGAATGAATGAAAGTCCGGATTAAACAAAATAACCAAAAATCGTAAATTATAAATTTAAAAAAAATGTATTGAATGTATTATACAAGTTTTAATTTTATATATTATATGTATTTTTAACAATATTAAGTTTAAAAAATAGTACATAATTTTATTATAATCATTACATACATAATACAGTACATACTAAGGCTTACTTTCATTTTTCACACTTGAAACGCTTACTGGTTTAAAGAAACTGCTGATCTTTGGTTGTTTTCTTTTCACAGTGATTTCTTTAATGATTAACTCGGGAAAATCCTTTATATACTCATAATACGCAGATATGTTTTCATCGTTGTTATATTTCACGTATCTTATGACAATGTTTAGATAGTTTAGATAAACTAACGTAATTTATGTATTATAAACGGCTGTCCGGATTAATAAGGTTCTACTGTACTATTATTTCCAAAAACATTACCTACTATATTCGTTCATTATCAATCATTAGGTTGTTAATGACCAAGTTGATGGATATTTTACGATTTCAAGAACTGTTTCACACAAGCACGCACAAGTTACCGAAATTAATTTTTGACTTTTTTCTATTTTTAGAATCAGTACAATATAGCTATAGGAAATAGATTTTTTTAGTTCTTCCCGTGACTCGATTTAAATTTTGAAAATAAGTCTATATACGATAACTATTTTACTAAGTTATGTTGGCAAAATAATTGACGTTTTAAAACTGAATGTATGCGTATACAATAAAAAGTTAACATCTTTTTTAAGCTTTATTGAAAAAAAAAATAAAAAATATATTTCTTACATAACTTAGGAAAAGGGATGACGAATTCATACGTGTTTTAAAAACAATAAACAGACATCGGGAAGTACGTAAACTAAACTTCTCCTCTTTGGTCTAAAACTACAAAAATTACCGTCATAACTGCACATAGTATTTACAACCGCTCGGTTGTACATAGCATTGTATGACGTAATTATTGAACATATAATTCCGTAGTTTATTATTTTATCAAGATTGATTTTGTATGTGCCTTAAAAAAACTCCTAAGTATTAATATATCATTTCAATAAGTTAGCTCAATTAGGTATAATGACTTATATGTATGAATTGTCTGTTTTCGTAAGTAGAACAAATTTTAAAATTACAAGTATGTAGTTGAGTATAATTATCTAATTATGAATATCAGCTTAATGTGCTAAACAAATTATATTGAATGCAGTTTTGAAAGTTTAATTATTTGTAAATTGTAATTATTAAAATAATATAGCAATTACTTTTTTTTTTTGGTTTAGTATACTTTTAAGTATACAATAATACTATTTATAAATTATAATTTATATTTTGAATACATTTAAATTATTACGAACAGTAGTTATATTTTAAAATCAAGTTTATTTATTATTTTACTGTTGTTAAATATTACATAGAATAGTTAATTTTTGTTATATATTTATTTATTATTATTATGCAATTTATATATTATAATTGCATAAGAATTAGTAACGAGCTTATAAGTATAAATTTAAATTGTATTTTCGATTATTATGTTATTAGGTTATTATCTTTTAGACTTATGGACATTTTGATTAAAAATAGTTATAAATAAACACATATTATAACACAGATTATATGAATACAGATGGTGCACTTTCTATGCTATAATGTAAATTCAGCGATAAGAGTCGGACACTTTTAAGGAGAGTGACTACAAGCAGAAAACTACATTTCTTTATAATAATTTATAATTTCTGAACGAGCATCATTGACTTTTGTTGTAACTCCACGAAATGCCAACCATAATTCAAAGTTATTTTTCTAAGTAAATAATATGGCTCATTATTATGGTAAAATGTTCAGTACAATCATGTATTTTTGAATGTGGTCACATTGATCACAGAAGTTGGTCACGCTCTATAAAAGTGCCCGCGATTTGTTTACATTTTGAGAAATTGCCAAAAGTACACCATCTGTATTCATATAAACTATGATTATAACTTATATAGCAAGCCGCCTGGCCGCTGTTGTAGATAATTACGTGCGAATAAGTTCTAAATAAAAATATGCGATAACGTAGAAAAACATGTCATATTTGTACATTGATGCGTTAGACTAGGGATGGGCAATTTAAAATTACTAGAGAGCCAATTTTTAGAAAATTAAAATCTAGCGGGCCAGACCACACAAAACAAAAAAAAAAAAAAGGTCATTCAAAATATTAATTTTAAATAATATTTATATACACGGAAATAATAAATTAAACACATGCGACAGTACGACACGAATGATACAAAGAAGCTGGAAGAAACTGACCAAGTTAAATAGTTCGGTATAAACAGCTATGGTTGAAAGCTATACGTATACAAACCATATGACATTTAGACCCATATTTTTTTTTAGCTTCTACAGGCCATTAAGGCCCTTCGCTACTTCTGCTAAGCCTTTTCATCGATCTTTGTTGTCTGCATCCTCAATTATTGCGGTTTCATCTACTTGCATTAAATCTTTCTTTACCCTCTAGCCAACGTTGACGTGGTCTTCCTCTGGGGCGTATTTTATTTAGTTTAGATAACACAACTTGTCTCATTAGGCTGTCCTTATCTCGCCATATGTGTCCGGCCCATTCCAGTCTCTTTAAGACAAGATATTTTTGGATATTTTTGGTCTATTAAAAATTCTTTCAACATTTGCATTAGTTCTCCTTTCGTACTGCCCTTTTTCCGTATTATATTTGGAGCTATATATTTTTCGAAGAACCTTTCTTTCAAATGTTAAAAACTTTGTCTCGTCCCCTTTAGTAGTGGACCACGTTTCGTAACCATTCATTACTATAGGCTGTAAGTGGGAAATATAAAGCTTTTTCTTAGTTTCTCTGAAAAGAAGCTTAGAACTGAATAATTTACTCATTGGCATAATAACCTAGATTTGCCGTATTCAGTCTCAATCTAATTTCGTTATGCATATCATTCCTATTATTCAAATTGACTCCCGAATATTTAAAGTCTTCTACTTGTTCGAATATATATTCATCTATGATGAGATTCTGTAAAATTCTTGGCCTCCTACTCATGACCATATACTCCATCTTATTCTCGTTTATATTGAGGCTCAATCTTTTAATAGACTTAATTTATTTATTTGTACTTTCTTCTATTTCGGTTTGAGAGTCTCCATGAATGACAATGTTGTCAGCATATGCAAGCAGTGTCCTGCTATCAATTAGATCCATTTCTCGCGTTTCATGCATATCTCTCACTACTTTTTCCAATGCCATATTAAAAAGAATGGGAGATAGCGCATAGACCTACCCATGATAGTTATAGATTTTAGATAAGCGTACGATAGTATCGACAGAGAGCAACTATGGACAGTACTACAGAATTTTTGATTGCCCAAGAAACTAGTAAACTTGGTTAAATGTTGCAATTCCAATATTACATGCAAAGTGCGTTTTTTTGGGAAAGGAGTCAGGGGATTTCGAAATCAAGTCCAGTCTAAGACAAGGGGACGCGCTCTCTTCCATTTAGACCCATTAAAGATGATTAATACCAAATAAAAATTATTATATCGATAAGATAGAGCATAGATGAAAAACTTTAAAATTGTATGATGTAATTTAAAAATTTAGCACGGATCAGATAAAAAAGGCTCCTAGGCCGGATCCGGCTCACGGTCCACCAATTGCCCACCTCTACGTTAGACCGTGGACGGTAGATGTGTAAACTTAGTCTTCAACCATACGTCTATACAGTATTAGAAGCTTTACTAGAAATTTCAAATGATTTTAATCAAAAAGACTGTTAAAATTAGATTTAAAAAAATTTAAAAAAATTTAAAGAACTAGAAACTTCTAAGCTACAATTTGCTGCAAATTACCTTGTTAGCATTTACCTCAATGATTTAGAATCATTACTTGGTGATCAATTGTTACAGTTTAGTTCATTTGTTAAAATATATATAGAAACGCATAAAGATAATGAGCAATGAGAAATGTTTTTACATAGGATTATTGAGGAAAATAACATAATTAGCAGTGTACATTTCCTAATGTAGAAGTAGTGCTGCGTATATATTTAGTTTTGATGGTGTCCGACTGTAGCGGGGACCGATCATTTTTAAAAATGAAGTTAATAAAAAATCGACTACGAACTTCAATGACAAAAAGTCGACTATCAAGCCTTGGGCTGTTTAATTGATTTACTACAATCATTAGATTTTTCACAAGTTGTTGAATAATTTGTGACGACGAAATCTCGCAAAGTTATTATATGATAACAATTATTATTTAAGTCCTGTATTTATATTATAATGACAATTGAAAGTTCCTATTATAATCTAACAAATGTAATTTTATTGTTTCATCACAACAAATCATTGTTTTTTTCCAAACTAAAATTCTGATTACTTGGAATTTTGGTTACAAACATGTGTAATCGAAAAAAAGTCTTCTAAGGCTGGGCCCAGGACCATCCACATTTCTAAATCCGGCCCTGCGTATATCCGTATGATAAGTGTGAGGTGTTGGATGTCGTTTACGTTGACAATTGCTGTATAAAAATATATTTTATCCAAGTCGCGATTGATATAATTCATGTATATATACATATATATTATAAGAAACATTGATATATAAACGTAAATATTACTATCCATCGTTGCTATCAATAAATGCTATTGAATAATTTAGTAATCGTACCTATCTATGTAGGTAAAAAAAAAAAAAAAGCGAATATTGATTTAAAAGTTTGACGTACTAACGAACCGTGTACTATTGTTATGTAAGAGCTTCGGGCTGCTCGAATTGTTGTTAGATACTGCACCGCGCTGTCTTTTGTGTACCGCTTACACAATCATCGAATAACAACAGCTTCGTTTTAATATTTTCATTTATAAATTATAACAAAGCTGTTGTTGCATGTTGGAAATTTCAAGTTGGTAAAATATAACTATGAAAAACCAAGCGATCGAAATCAATTTTACCGTCGTGTTGTACGCCGGAATTATGTACACGGGTCTGGTAATTTCTGGATGGCTACTTTTGCGTCTTACCGTCGCCTGTTTCAAGTTGCCGTCCATTTTGAGCTCAGGGCAACTGCTAGGACCTGACATTGAAGATGAGTTAGAAAATATGCAACAGGCATTGATCAAGGGTAAGGATGTTGCTACACAAGTATTTTCTTTTTACTGCATCAGGCATAGTCATTGATAACATATTCAGGGTCAACTCGGTGAGGGGAGGTGGGTAAGTGCACGAGAAGTGTGTTTTGTGTACATAAATAAATTATAATATATTATATATAAATATATTTCGTAGGAGCGTATTTTCACATTGAAATAGGATTTGAATTAGGTAAAAAATTAAAGTAGCAACATATTTAAGTGAGGTTAATATTGTTAATATTGTTATTCTATACTTCTTTCACATAATGAAACAAAATTACATATACATGAGTACCTACTTGTATGCAATTTAGAATATATACAAATAAAATTTATTGACTCACTAATTTCTATCTCTCTGTCGTACCGATTTTTATTAATTTTTTTAATTCAAATTCGTACATAAGTATTTACGTATTACTCGCTGTGCTATGTAGGTTATGCAGACAAGAAAAATTCAACAATTCGGCAAATTTGTACATCAAAGCGGTTTGAACGTTGAATGATATATTGTGAGGTTTTAATTATAGGAGTTGATGAAAAAAATGTATTTGAAAAAAAAGTATTTTTGTTTAAATGGTTAAAACACTGCAACTCAGATATTTGCAGTTCGCCAGCAAGTGAATATTTTTTTTGAGGGGGGGGGAGAGGCAGCAAATTTAATGTTACCCCTATCGGCAATTTTTGTAAATATGGGCCTGCATATATGCATATTATATTTAACTTATAAGTAAAATTATAAAAGCAATATATAGTTGGTAATTTTATTTTTATAATTCGATAATGCCACATACAAAATAACAAAATAATAATAGTAGGTAATTAATTTAAAGTTATTTTGTTCGCATAAAAGAAGAAGTAAATGAAGATTCAAGTCTTGAAAAATATTTCGATACTTTGACTCAAGATTCTTGCAACATCACAACAATACGTAGTAAATTGGTAGGTATCTATTAATAATTTATTTTTTGAGACTAATAACATTACACTTTATAAGTATTGTCAATGAATATTAAGTTTAATTTTAGAACATTTTGGTCGTCGAATTATTTGTGTATATACTATATGTATCTAATTAAGGGAAACCTAAAATTTTAAAAATTTTAAGTTCATTATTAATTTATGCTTTATTATCTGAATTCTTATTTTGAGAAATTTTAATACGGGTAGTTTTTATGGATATTATTTTGATAAACTTGAGAATTTCATAAATACATTTATTATACATTGCGATAAAATATATATTTAGAATAATTTGAAAATGTTCTAGACCAGTTTTTCTCAACCGGTGTGTCGCCGGGTAAGTCCAAATGTGTCACGTGAAGTACTAATATTAAATGACCCAAAATGTCCAAACATTGTTGACACTATTAAAAAAATTAATAGTTATTTGATATAATTTCTATGATGAACAAAAATAGATCATCAGCTTTCGACATTAAATACATTTATATACATTATAAATATCACTATCGTAATGCTAATTGATAAATGTTGGTTTATTGATATTTATTTTTGAACAGTTTATACCAGACAGTATACCTATTTATATTTTACATTATCAATTAATTATAAATATTTAATATTAGCCATTATTCTTATTTTTATTAAATACAAAAGTTGAGAAATACTAGTCTAAACCACAATATTCTTAGATTATAAAAATTTAAATGACCAATTATAATAGAATAATAAACATTTTATTCTCTAAGCCAGTGCTTCTCAAACTTTCTGTCATGAGGCCCTCTAAATGTAATGTAAAACTGCCTTAATCAAAATTATTAATTATTTTTTTCTTAATTATGTATAAAAATTACATATATTATTTCACATAGCTTAATTTTAATATGTTTATTAAATTAATGTATCTGAATACACTTTTGAAAAAATTGTATTATAGTATTTAACTTTATACATATGTACATAGAAATAAATTAAGGCCTAAAGAAAATAGTTTAAATCAAATAAATATTTCACGGCTCTCCAGTAATATAATCACGTAATCATGCGCCCCCCCCCCTAGGAACCCGCGTTTTCCAGTTCGAGCACTGCTCTAAATGACTGCTGAAAATAATTTAGGTTATAGATTACATTAATAATATTTTGATCATGCGAATAGAGAATTTGTATTGAAAATATAATTGAATGAAAAATAAAATCAGACGTTATTAAATCATCGATTAAATAATGCACTTTTGGTAAATATGTTCTCGATAATAAAATATGTCTTAACCTAAAAGTATTATTACTCTATGGTTCTGACGCCTTACAGGTCAGTGATATTTCACATGCTTTATTCCATTAATAACCTAACCTTATACTAATAGACGGAGTATCACTGATTGGTGGTGGTTGGGTGGTGCAGTCACGATTATTCTCATATCAGTGTTGTCATTTCTGACCACATAAAATATGTTTATTCTCATATTTATACAGTATATTATTATTAAAACATTTAAAAATCAATTTGCCTCATAAATAATCCCGTAAACTTAGTCCTCAAAAAAAATATTCCTGTAATAAAAATGATTGTGTTTCTACCCAATTATAAATGAATAATATAATGATATTATTTGTATATGTATTTTCATCATACAATAATTTTTAAAACGCAACAAACGATCGCCTAACCTCAAATTCTATTACGCATTTGCGTAGTAATTGAGTAGAACAGCGCACTCACGTCTGACCGCTGGAACTATACCCATGCTCCGTCTATTATTCATGCGATCCCTGTTTGTGATAAATCCATACACCTATAATCCAATCTTAATGATTTATATAAAACGCGCGCGTTTTTATTTTTATCAATGCTTTTTAATTATTTATCGTTATGATGAGCATTTAACAAAAGTAAATATACATAGGTAATACATTGTATTACAACGACAATTTGTCTCATTTAAAAATTATTTTTATAAGAAAAGCCGACTAGTGATTATCGATATCATTGACGGCCGCGACTATTATTTTTGAGTTTTCATATTACAAGATGACTTCCTTCAGATTATTATGTAAAAATATATCATATATATTATATTATTTTATACCATGTTTGTCTCAAGATTTAAAGAATCTAATTTTATCAAGATAAATCAGTAAAATTCAACTTGTGAACACTAAAAAGAATAAAGTAACCCTATGCTGCATAGTAAATATAATATAGTATACTACTATGTACACTATCAGTATAGTTTAAAGTCTAAAAACTAATATTTTTTACTTTTTTTGGCCATTTTCTTTTAAGTGTTCTTGGTATATTGTAAGATAGAGCGATCGACGACTTACGGGAGTTTCACGGGTTTTGGTTCAATGGATTTTAAAGTGAAATTTTTTTTGTATTGTTGGATTAAAATTTCGTTTACTATCAGGATTTATAGGTTATTATGTACAGCATTATTAGTCATATACCAAGGGTAGAGTGCGGATTTATTTGCATTTGTGTATTTATTCTGGTTTGTTGTATGATATGCAAAGTTAGCACAAAATCGGTGTCATGACAATGTTTTATACAATTAAACTTTTTTAGTGCATATTTTTGCATATTACGTCATTTACCTATTTATTTTTTTTGTTCTAAATGCTTATTTCATGATTTTAATAGCATATTTTAATGTTTTTTTCTATAGAGATTTTTGAAATATTTACTATGTATAATAATATTATATTATATATTATAATATTATAATATAAGGAGTCATTTATTTACGAAAAAAATATAATAGTATTATCAAAAAACGAAAACATTAAACTAAAATATTAAAAGTTTTAAATGGTGAAAGTTAACCAATTCAAACCAGTGAACATGTGACCAAAGAGGAATAACAATTGTTTTATTTATTAGACTTCTTGAACGGGATGGTAAAGAATGGAGAAGTGTTGAATTGTTTTCTTTTGTATTTTGTATGTTGTGCTCAAGTAAGTCGCTCGTCAAGGTGAACATCTTAAGTATTGAGTTACATTTTGACTTGGTATAGGTATGATAAATAGTGATAGTTGAGGACAATCTTTAATATCAATTTATTCTTACTGATTTGTTTCATTTTAAAGATAATTCTAAGCAAACGGACGATTACCTACCTATTAATAACCCTTCAAATCCTGAGTATTTCATTAAAACCGTTAAGAGGCCGCTAGCTCATTAAAAATTTGACCCCAGGGTCCTCGCAGTGTCCGGACGTTTGCGGGGACACGGTTTTGGAGAAGTCGTGATGGCGACTCGATCGGAACGCCATCTAGCCGTTCGGTCCGTACCGCCGCGCGATCCACGCTCGGTGCCCGTCGGTTACGATCGTGCCCCACCACCGCAGCAGTTGCCGCCGCCGCATTATAATTCGTTACAAACCCAACACACTCGTGCCGTCTCTGTATAAACAAACAACTGTCACCGCCGGTCCTTGTGTTCCTTGTTTTTTTATTTTTACGTTCTATCGCGAAGTGCACGTATAACGCCGTCATCGCGTTGTCGACACGTTTGCACGGCAAATTATTCCGCCGAGCGTTTCGCGTGACCCACCGCAGTACGCAACGTCACGACAGTCTTCTCGTCGCGCGCACACACCAGCCGTTTGCGTCTTCGAGCCGTCCGAAATCTTCGAACGCGAGGAATCGTTGTCAGCAACAACGGTTTTTTACCTCGTTTTTGCCGCCGCATAGTGATCGTCGACGAGAAATACCGCGTCCATTCCAATTCCACAATGTCCGAAGTGGCCGCCGAAAACAACGTAGCCGTTCAGGTATATACATATACACGCGCACGCATTGTATACAACACATACGTCCGTTGTGTTACGCGTACGTGCATTATTTGTATTTGTATACACGTGTGCACGTGTTTTCCGATCTCACCGACGCGATCTTCTCCGTACGCGTTCGGCACGGTCCCGGGCCGTTCGCCGCGGTCGCGCGTTTTTTCGTATATTTTGCCGCCAAACCGTTGCGGCGCGCGCCATTGCGCCGGCGGCCGGAGGAGGCGAAGCGCGCGCATCACGTCCGTCAACGTCTCGCCTCTTTATCCCCGTTCGTTCCCTCGCTTTTTTACCTCCCCGGTGGCGCGTACCTACTCTTTTTCTTTTTTTTGCCGCGGAGGGAAAAAAAAAATTCACTCTCTGCGCGTCCCGGAGCCCACCCTCCTCCCGCTCGGCCGCCGCCATTATTATCGTGTCGCCGCTTCCCAAACGCGCACGCACCACACGTCGTCCAGCCACTGCGCGGGTTTTCGACGGACGCGGGAGTCTCGGTACGCGTGTGCTTTCCTCGTTCCAACCGGAGACGCGCACAAATCGTTTGGCGCCTCGCGCGCACGCACAATGTCCGCGTGCGCGTCTCCTCCCCCTCCCCCCTCGTTGTAGACGCCGTTACCGTTCGCCCATTGACGCGCGGTGCGTCGGTTACGCTTCCAACGACCGTGCGCGTTTGGAGGGCGGGGGACGGGATGGTCGTCGACCGATTATTATTGTACGCTTAGCATCACTGCGAGTCCGTTCTCGCGCGTCCGTTTTCCCGCCAAAACCCGTTTCTACTTGTGCCAGCGCGCGGCCGTTATATTTTCAATTTCTCTCCGACCCTACCCCTGCAACACGCACGCCGCGGGGGTTTTGTTCTCTTGTTATTGCGACCACGTCATCCGCGTGCCGTAGCCCCACAGGGTTTCTCAACATAGTGTTCCATCGTATCTCATTGGTGCCCATTCGGTTTTTTCGTAAACCATCATTGGGGTAACGCGTCTTACCCGTTTCTCGGGTCGACACTCTCTGCAGTGTTCGCTTAGGTCTCCAACAACGAATAATGAATTGCACCTGGATCAAATCATTGTTAAATTAGTACCCGCCTAACGTTACGACTGCGAAAAGCATGGTTGTAATTGGCGTTATGAGTGTTAGGTGTAATACTGTAATCAAAGGTTACTAAGGTTAACGTTTATTTGTAGTTCACCCCTAAATCCAACATTCTGATTGAAATATGATTATTTTTATAATAGCTAATTTATGAATTTAGGTAACCCAAGTATGATTTAATTACATATTAATTTAAATTGTAGGAAGGTGAAAAACGTGGGCGTAAGCGCAATGTTGGAGGAAAACGTTCTAATGTTCTAGACGTAGTCGCTGCTGAAGCTGAGTTGATAACTAAGGTATTTAATTATTCTCCTATAAATATTCATTTTTTCAAATCGTTATCAAGGAATAACTACATTTCAATACATTTCTAGGGATTGGTCAGTGCTGACGAAGTTGATGGCAGGAGAACAACTAGATCATCTACAAGAGGTTCAACTGCAGCTTCAAAGTTAAAAAATGAGCCTCCACCAAAAAAAGAGAAGAAATCACCAGCCGTAAAAGGTTAATTTAATTTAAAATTGATATAGTTAGTTTGATATTAACAGAAATTAATTTTTCAATATAAATTTATTTAGGAAAGCGAGGAAGACCGAAGGTAGTTGCAAAAGAAGAAGGCGATGAAGTTGTATCGGCTGAAGAGAATGGTATTGCTGAAAATGATGTCGACTCTAAAGCTGATAAGGGTGGTAGTTCAACTGAGGAAGAAGTTGATTCCAAAACCGAAGAAAAAGTTGAAAATGGAAATTCTTCAGCTGAAGAAGAGAAGAAAGATGAGGTAAACTTGTAATGTTCATTTGATAATTAAATGAATCTAGTTTAATTAAAATAATTTAATTTTATATATTTAGAGCAAGGAATCAGACACTGAATCTGAAAAGCCTGCAGTAACGGAGGAAAAGAAAGAATCCTCTAGCCCGTAAGATATAAATCAAAATGCTAATATTTTAGTGTTTTATTAAGTTTAGTGTTAAGCAACATATTTAATACTTAAATCTATTCTGATAGTTATCATCATGATTTTGGTACCAGTTTAATTTATTATAAACGCAATTTTTTTTTTATTTAGCTAGCTCATCATGGTTCTGAGCTAGGCATATAGACTTAATTCTGGACTAATGTGTATCCTATTGATTTTATATAATTAACAAATTCAGCCTTTCATGTAAACATTGTTTATGTTACCATTGTGTATATTGTCGATTATGATAAACCTCCGTTAGTTATGATTTGGATTATGCTAATCCAATTTATTTCAATAATTTGTAATTCACTGTAATACTTGTCTTTCTGTGCATGGAATTAAATTAAATAATGAAAATTTATTTTAAATAAAATGTTGTCTTTCAATAGTTTTTAATACAATGGAAGCTGTAATTCATTATTATGAAAGTAAATTGAAGTTTAATTATGTCAATGACATGGATATTTTTTCATTTTTAGATATTTTGAATGACTTAATTCAATGTAACCTATACATTTTTGTGTTGTATTTTAAAACATTTTCAGATTATTATAATGAATACAATTTTTTTTTTAAGTATGACTATTCTTTTAATTTCAGATGTGAATCCTAATTGCCCCGATAGACACTTGAATTTATACTTATGTACATTAATTATTAAGTACTGTAAAAACGCAGCATGATGATTCATTAATTAAACATTACTTGTTTTTATGCAGACAACTTTTGCATTTAACTTTACCTACTAATTATTAAAACCAACGTTTTGACAACATTTTAATTTGTGTTTGTTTTTTTATTGTAGTCCAAATTTATATATACATATATAGAATGTAAATTACTATTGTGAATAAGATAATATTATTTTATTATAAATATTATATTATTAAGAACACTATTGTATTTTTATGGCACATTACAGCAATATGAAATTGAAAAACTTAATATTGTATCAAAACAGTTTATTTTACCTAATATATAATTTTCATTTTACTTGTCATTTTTTTTAACATTTTTATTTAAACTAAAAATAAGTGTTCGTTCACTTAATAGTGTTATATTTTATTTTTGGTACAATTTTAATTTGTATTTTTTAGCCAGAGCCAATAACGTCTAAAGATATTTATGTTTGCACAGACGTTTTAATATTTTTATTTCTATAATTTAGTAAATATTTTATTTTTTTAAGATATACACAATAGTGTAATCAGTTTTTTTTTTTTGTTTTGTACGTGTAATTTAGTATAAATATTTTTCACACTAAATTGCATGTGTATAAAACAATGATAAGAAAAACTACATTTATGTTTGCGTAATAATTTATAAATTTATTTTATTTCAATCTACTTTTTTAACACTTACATATTGGTCTGACGTTTGGCTCTTGCTCCCTATTACCTTTTATATATAAGGTTCTACTGTAGGGATTTTGTATAATTATATAATAATAAAGATTTAAGAATACATTTAAAGCTTTATAATATTTGTATGCATACAAACTAAAACATATTACATTTTGTACACAAAGAACATATTTTTTATTTACCATTGATGAATTGTGTGTGTGTTAAAAATTAATGAATTGGGTTATTTTGTTGTACCATACACTACATCAAACATACAACTTTTCAATGGTATATATTTTCGGTTGAATGCGATGGCTTTAGTTCCTTTATTTGAACTGCATGATAATTGGTAGTCCTTGCCATTTATGTTATTGATTCGATCAGTCGATTACGGTAATTTGCTGTAGTACATCTTCATGCTAGTGCTCAACTGCACATCAGGATTTATAAAACGTTTTAATTAATTAATTGTGTGTTTAATCCATGGTGCACACAACCAATATTTTATATGTTTAATTCATTCAACATAACAGTCCTTGGACCTCGGTCCGGAGTACAACATTTTTTGATACATACATTTACAAATCGATCAGGTCGATCGACCTGCAAGCCATAGGCGCAATTAGAGTAAATAATTGGGGGGGAAGCTTCAGCCCCTCACAAATTTTCCAATCACTGTCTCGGAATCTTTTTTTCTCACCCTTTACCCTCTATAAAAAATGTGCTTATTGGAAGGCAAGTCAAATATAAAATTAAATAATAAAACAATAATTTGCTTTTAAGTATAAATAACAGATTTAATATAGTTTTTTACATTTTATATTTTTATTTTTCTATTTTTTTTAGCAAATGTATTTAAAATGATTTCGGTGTCAATAATATCTCTCTCATTATTAAGTATTGCAAATTTTGAAAACCGTTCCTGTGACATAGTAGACCTGAGATAATTATTAATAATATTAATGTTATTAATCTTATTGCAGAAAATGACCGCAAGTAACCGAACTGACCGGAAGAGTGATAGCCAATTAAATAATTTTAAAAAGATTTGGAAACGTATCTTTAGATATATTTTCTTTGATGGTTAAATAGTTAGGAACTCCTTTTATCATATTTTTCAAGACAATTATATTCTGCGGTGTGCTATAATAAGCACGGTCTATACACTAGAAATAATAAACATATTATTTAAGACCATGGTTTTAATATTGTTGTTAAAAAAAGAATAACAAAAATGTGTTTTATTCGTTATTTCAGTAGTAATCGCATATTATTTTTTATTTATCAATATAATAATATAAAGCTCTGTATGGTTTTTTGGGGGGGGACTTTGAATGTTTTTGAAGGGGCTTAGCCCCTCTAGCCCCCCTAATTGTGCCTATGCTGCAAGTCAAGTTTAAAAAAAAAAGAACGCGTCGCGCCGACAATGGAACAACGGTCGACCGTACAATGCTTATTATGCATAACCAAATGGGGGCGGCATTCACAGCGGCCGGAGGGGCAATGTAAATGCAAATATTTTTTAGACTTCTTAATACATATGCCCACAGCTGTCAAATAAGACAAGAACGTACATTCCGCATTAAACGTAAGCCAAAATTCAAGTCATCCCAGTAAGTATGCGAGTCTCTATAGTTTTACGATTCCTAGCTGATGGGTTTGTACTACAAATATTTTGTAATTGTAAAAACATCTTTAACTTTGATTTCTTTTATAACTGTGCCAACAAATATTCATAAAATTAATTTTAATCTTAATCCTGTTATAGTCGTAATGATTATTTCTAAATACTTTTCGTATGTTTATATATATTTTGTATTTAAATTATAATAATACGTGATAATATGCAGAATCGCCGACTGCAGAGTGTGATGATCACATTGGATTATTTATTAATCTTATATTTATGTAAAACCGATGACGATGACGATGAAGCCGCAGCATGTTAATAATAAAAATGTAATATTATCATTTATATGTGCTGTGACCAGGGCCGGATTGGCCCGGCGAGTTACCGAGCAAAACTCGGAGGGCCGCGACAATTTTTGACCTTTTAAGTTGTGAAAGGCCTCTAACAGAAAATAATAATAGTTTAAAGTTGAAGATTAGTGCACCTATTGAAATATGCGATTAAAAAAATTTGGACAAGGGCCGCCAGTTAGTAAGTGGGCCGGTAACATACAGAAAACTCGGTGGGCTGAATTCGTCCAATCCGGCCTTGGCTGTGACCGAAATTAATTAAACACATGCATCTAGATATATAATAATATAGGCTTTATCAATACGTGATGGCAATCACATTTTGAAATTTCGGAATTCTGCTATTGATAGATGCAAATAATATTTAATAATAATCTAACTTGTAGCGTCTATGGTACACTGATGCACGTCTCCGTCAAAAATCAGTGACGATAATATTGCTCGAGGATTGTCTGAGAATAACGATTTCGCCGCCGCGGAATTCTCAAAAATTTCATATACAGGTATGGTACAGGCGTGCCCAATTTTTTTCAACTTGCCGGCCACATTCGAAATTTATATTTGTATACTCCGGGCCGTTTCATGGTTTTTTTTTTTTTTTTTGTTCATTTCGATAAAATATTTAATAGTGAACAGATATATTAAAACGTTAGGCAAATCTATTGTACATTTTATCGGATATAATATTATCTCTGTTCACTTATAGAATTTATGACTAAAACTATTTTCGACCTTATAAGTGATGTGAAATCGTTTGAAAAAAATAACAACTTTTTAAAAACCAAATATTGAAGCAAAATTTTTTACATTTTAAAACGTGTCAAGAAATTAAACAAAATTCTTTTATTGACATTCCGACAAATCATTTTGTGAATATGTTGGAAAAATTATCAACAGAATTTGAAAACCGTTTTCAAGATTTTAAATCGCGTATGATTTAATTTCGGATGATTGAAAATCCATACTGTTTGATAAAAATTATGTTCAAGTAACTGTTCAACCAGGGTCTTCCCGAAGATGAAAATCAAGGGGGGGGGGTGCAGGCCCGTAACCAGGCCAAATATTCAGGTGGGGCAAACAAAATTGTAGGGGGGCATTAGGAAAAAATCAATATTAATACTGCTGTAATTTTTAAAATAGGTACTTTAAATTAAAATAATAAGAATTAGAATAAAGTGAACATAATTACATTTTGAATATTTTTATAATATATTATTTTTCGAATTTACCAGTTTTTCTTAAACTAAAACAGTTGTAATTTTCTATCTTTTTGCTTGTTGAATTCCATTAATAATACATCCAAATTTAGAATTTTAGGATCTAATGAAATGGTGAATGTTATCGGTTTGATATGTTATATTTATTGTTCGGTGTTGTCGTCAGATATCGTGCGCCTTCACACGTAGACACTTAGCGGCGCTTCTTAGCAGCGCTGCTGTTGGAAAAACATTAGTTTATATAGATGGTTTCACACACGGCAACGGCCACTAATTTGAAGCGCCACAGACGGTGTCAGTGGCTGGCTTCGCCGCAGATCGCGGCGTCTAAAAGTCGCGCTTCTCGAGACAGAACGTGTTTTTAGATTGGGGGTTTCACACGCAACCACAATCGCGCGTCTATTTTTGTAGCTGTTCATCAGCGCGTCGGCAGCGCGTTAGTATTGCGATTAATCCGCATAACGAGTTCAATTATTATTTTAACATCAATCTTTATTGATCATTCTGAGCGCTGTCAATAGCTCTTATTTTTTATTTTTGATACCGGATAAAAGTTCTTTGAATGTATTTTTTATTATGTTATTTTTATAATGTTATTTTTTGACATACGAAAATATGGAAAAAATTTTTCATCATTTCTTTCTATGTCATCAAATAGTGTATTAAATAATCCTCTGTTCGGTCTTTCCAGAAGCAGTGAATGTACCTAGAATATTCTTGGTGTATTTTTACATTTTTTTTTTTTTTTTTAATTTATAACATCGCCAGCTACGTCCATTTTGAGACTGATGTGGTATGTTTTTGTCTTCACAAACTGTCTACCGATACACATTCGTAGTACCACTAATTACGCTTTTAAAAATATGAGCAGCACCACTAACGGGCTTCTAAAAACATGAACAGCGCCACTGACGGGCTTCAAAAAACACGAGCAGCGCCGTTGATGCGCTGCTAAGAAGCGCTGCTAAGTGGCTACGTGTGAAGGCACCCATCAATCAGATGCCATCGTATTCTCCAGTGCAAATGCTATACAATATTGCTAAAAATAATTTCTTATATTAAATAGTGCTTCTACTGCCGATGAAATTATTATCAAGCAATAAATTATATTATATCTAACTACCACAGCTGTAGATAGTAAAAACCTACTATCTACAGTCATGCTAACTATCAAATGTCATGACATTATTAACTTTTGTTGGGGGGGGGGCAACAATTAGGTCTAGGGGGAGCCTTTTGCCCCCCCCCCCCCCCCGGGGGTACGGGGTGGGGGGGGGGGGGCGAATAATATGAAAAATGTCAATTACAATTTTTTTACTCAATGTATGTTTTACTCAATTAGCAATATGTAGTCGTATTTTTACTTTTTAACATGTATATATGTGTTAGTGTCGCACGTTCATAAAATTGTTAATTTAATTATACATATATAAAAATATTTTACATTGTATAATAAGTAGTTATATAAATTTTATTCGTGTATACACTGTATTACGAAATATGTAATAATTGTTTTCCGTAAGCAAAATTAGGTCCTTTTAGGCTATAATGAAACAAGTCCGACTGCCGACTGGTGTTTTCGTTGGAGGGGTGAGATGCCTTCCCCAAGACCTCCTTTTGGGACGGCTCTGTGTTCAACTTGAACTTAATGATTTAAAAACAAATAATCATTTGAAAGATTTATATAAAGAAATCACAGATTTAATACATTTTTATAAGACCCTTACTGAGGATTTCAATACCATCCTGTTGAACAGTTGCAGGTAAATTGTAATGTAGAAACAAAATTATGGCACGGTATGCAATATACGATTTATTAATGTAGTCAATATAATGTATAAGTAAAATAATAGTAGTGCTAAATTAATGTACGCTAACGGCTTATATGCCGCAAGACTACGACGAAACGATATCGTTCTGTTCTCGAGCATTTAGTCGTCGCGTGCGCCTATGCGAGAAAATAATAGAAGCTTTGGGATGCTTGAGAACACATCATGGTTGGTTGAATATTATGTGCAGCCAACGAACACAATTCGTGGGGTTTTGTTTTGATTCTCGACGCTACTAAAATTACGCATTAAAACTAGTAAAAAGTAATATAAATGAAATTACACAATGTACACGCGCATTGTTAACACATACATTATGATGAACAGTATAGTAGATGGTATAATAATAATAATAGCAGGCGGTTTGTTATTACATTCTAATTATACGTCACTACTATGTAAGTTTAAAAATTATAAAAGTTAAAAGCGATTTAATTATAAATAGATTTAAATTAAAAAAAAATAATAATAATAAAATAAAATAAAACAATAGTGTTTCGAGAGTAATAATAATAATAATTAAATGTTATTGTCTTGAACGTCGTCCGAAGCCGTCGATGTCACTTCGTTCGTTGATCATTTTTTTCCTAAAATGTTGTTTAAATCGTGGCTGAAAAGAGAAAACACCAGTAGTGAGTATTTTTTCGATTTTGTAATAGATTTCCAGCAGTGCCATTACCGATTAGACTCGATTCACCATGTTAAGAGAAGCAAGTTAAAACAAAACAAATCATTTTAGCACATTATAATATATATACTGTTAATAAGGTTAGAGTTTAACGGATGTTAAACAGTTGTTTATGGTAATTTGTGTGTTTTAAGTGTCTTCTTTATTTTGAGTAAAAAAAATAATGTCTGATGGAACACCGCATCTTAGCATCTCCTATTTTAACCACAGATTATTCATGTGCAAAAAATATTTTTTACGCCAAGGAAAGACCGATTAAAAATAACAGAAGAAGAGTAAAAATTATAATTTCATGAGCTATTTGGTCATTTGAATCATTAACGTTACGCGCCGCTGCTTATGTGACACAATGGCTCACACTTTTTTGATCATCGGTGACATTGATGGAAGTGGTAAGTGAGTAACGGCCAGTAACTCGAGATTTCACCGACGAATGGTTTCAGAGGTTATGGTGTGGAAAGAAAGAAGAAAATCGTTTATCTTACATATTATTTTTGGATCTGCTTTTATGCTTTATCGACCAAAATAGATGTAGAGGACGATGGAAAAGTCAATCACTTTGTGTTTGTGGTGGTCGACGCTATTGATTTGTATACGTAGTTTTTATTTCAGATCTTCTGTCCCGGGTGGTATGGTAGATTTTGAAGAGGAAGAAGAGGGGGTATTTGGTATGCGTTATGCCATAGGAGTAAATAATTGATAAATTAATACATTTTTTTTTCGGGGGCAATACCCCCCCATTTATCATTGGTTAAGTTGGTTAACCACCCTGAAATAAACACTGGTTGTACGAATTCGGACGGAGCGTATACGAGCACTATTATAGATAACAAAATAATCATGTGTAAGCATAAATAACCATAGCTAGATCACGGATCACGTGATACATTGTTGGCAAACGAGATTTATTGCTCCAAATTTTGTTAACATGTAATGTGATAATACAATGTAATACAATATATAATTAACAATGTAACGAGTGATATGGGTCGTACAAGTCGTACAACAAATGAAAATATATAATTTAACAATAATTTTTTCTATACGTGTTTACGTATACCCTATATTTAAAACTGTGTACATTAAGAGACGCGCGGCGTAGGCCATTGTAAGGTGGGGCTCAAGTAATTTCGTGCCACGGAAACGACAACGAATAAATAGCGATGGCGATTACAGTTGTCATTGTTGCGGACGGGAAAGACTTTAACGCGTGTGTCTTGTGCGAGGTGCTCCGCGTGCCGTATTAATAATAGCATTGGAATCAAATATACCTATACGACGCAGGTACAACGAAACGAGGGCAGGACTTCGGCGCGTACCTCATTGATTAGAGTTTAGACGATGTACGTAGACGCCGCGAAAAATTGTCAATATCGATTCTAGACGTACTGAAAAAATGGGCAAACGTGTGGACGAAGGTTTTCGAGGGGGGAAGGGGAGGGAATTCGTACGAGATCGTAATGTCGAACAACGTTTTTACGATCTCTGCAATGCACTACTAATCCAGCAACAGTGATGGTGAACTTTAATGATCCGACGTGGCCCTACGTCGGAGAGTTTATATTGATTTCTAAACGTTACATTTTTCGCCGCGCCGACGAAACGCACAGATATGTTTTTTTTCGAATTTGCGAAATTGACTTAAAATTACGTTATCTTTATATGTTTGGTACACATATTATCGATATCGAATAACAAACGTATATAACAATATTGAATATATATATATAAATATCGTTATAAAAAATATAAAAACTAAACGTATAGTTGATTTCTCTAAGCCTTTAACAATTTATTTAATACATTATTTTCTTAATGCTTTTAATTACGACGTGCGACGGCATTGTTGGGTGCATGTTAGTTTTTTTTTTTTTTTTTTTTGGACGGTGTACGAAACGAATCACGCATCTACGGTGTATTATGCCTATAGTTATTTATCATATCAATGTAAACAAACGAAGGATGGCGGGAAACAAATCGTGTCGCGATCAAACGACGAGCACAATACGATATAAGAATATCTCTCCCTCTCGTGAGCATTGTTTGTCTCCGAATATCGTCAATTAATCTAAAAGTTAAACAATAATATTTCCATAAACACATATGGTACAACAATAAAATAAGATCACAACCCGTATGAATGTAACGCGGTATACGTAGATCGACATCGGCATCGTAACATGTTCTAACAGGACGTTATAAATTAGTCAATAATAATAACAAAAACGACGTAGTTAACATAAGCCTTATGCTAAAGTTATTGTGCGCGCGAAAGCACTGGTTATTCGTGTCGGACACGAAATATTCGGTCTCGTTGAGGTCCGGCCACGTGGGTGTGGTGGGCCACCGGTTCACCTGGAACACCACTTGGTCGTTAGTAGTTTGCGTGAGCACCATCGACGACGGTATACGTCTCAAGTCGTTCTTTTTGTGATAATAGCTACGCAAATGATTAGCGTTACGTTACCGTGGTATTATGTGTCCGGTCGCGAAAAGCAGCGTGTTGGACAAAAAATAAAACACGTCAAGTTAGCATCATACACGTCATGTATAGTTATTTCGTATCACGCGAACGATAACCACAGGCACATACGTAATGTTAATTGTTTAATAGTACAATGGCGCGCATACCTGTTGCACGAGGCGACGTTCTTGCCGGACATCGAGTCCCGGCCCAGGTTCACGTATCCCGAGTCCTGGATCCGCACATCACCGATACAACCTTCGTATCCCTTGTAATGGTTCACGTTCAACCTTTGTATGGGCGTCGGTAGTCCGCCTGCGTACGAGCCAAGCATTCAACGTGTTACATTTATCGTTTGCGGTTTATTATTATTTTTATCGGAGGGGGGACGAATTCTTACCAATATATATTAAATCGGTAGACACTAGCAGTTCTCGGATGTCCACATCACGTTCCTTTCCATACTCCGTGGTTTTCCTGTCCAATTCCAGAGACCATTCAAGTCCGTTTCCACGGATCATTATCGAATGCGGTTCGTTGTCGTTAACGTGATGGTCTGTGGCTCGTATGGTTGGTGACATCCTACCTTTGGACATGTGACTGAGCTCTACGTAGCCATTGACGACTGTAAAATAATATACATTCGTTTAAGAACTCAAGAATAACATTGAATATTTATAGATCCGCATTATTGTGAATAGTGAATACATATTATATGTATTCATGTATTATATATGTATATTATATATATATATATATATATAATATATACGTATTATGTATATATATATGAGTGCAACAAAAAGAAGCCATTTCGATTTAAAGATGAATTTAATACATTTTAAATGCACATTTCATCTCCCCCCCCCCCCGAGTTTATATCAATGCGTTGACATTAGATTGTTGCCTTAATATACTTGAAATTAATCATCGAGCATGCAATTCATTATTATTTTCAGAAGTTCATACTTGAGATGGCAATGTAGTTTTCGATCGTATATGATATATCTTCGTTCTTGGGCTCTTGTCCTTGCCAATACAACAGGCCGTTTGCGGAATCCGTAGTGAACGTCATTGATATGGAATGTTCTTCTTTGGTTCGGTCCAGTATATTGTGGTCCAACTGGAGATAACTGTTGCCGCTGAAGTTGGCAGTAATGTCCAATACCACTTCTGTGAATAGTTTAATTACGTGTGAAAATCGATGGAAATAAATAAGCATTAAAATGTTTTCGTACTGTCGTCACACGTTGGTCCTGAATGTCCGAGTGGGCAGTCACATCTGTACGAGCTCGAATCGATGTCGGTGCAGTCACCACCGTTGTTACACGGTTTCAATATCGAACACAATTTGGCTTCGATTTCACACTTTGGACCACTATGTAAACATTAATATTGCATTAGTATAAATATTCACGATATACTCGGGAAAACGATAGGAACGACGAAACTCGGTTTACCTAAATCCGTTTTCGCATTCGCAGGTGTACTCGTAGTATTTAGACGAGGCATGGCAGTTTGCAGAGTTCTTGCAGTGGTTATACGAACAGGCATCGCCACGGGAAGTTGCACAATCTTCTACGTTTGAGGAATCGACGGTCGAACTTATCATGTCTATGTCCATACCAGATACCTTGAGCTAACAAACGTAATAAATAATTGACGATGAAAAGAAAAGATTTACGTACGAACGTCAATAAAAACGGAGGACAATAATATTGTATAATACTATATTTTATATAGTTTAAAGGACATATGGTGTTGTACGTTACCATTTTGATACATCCTTTGAAATGTGCGTCGACGTCTACGTGTTTCGAAATCTTCACCTTGTAGGAGTCATAGCCTCCGACGAACAGATGAGTCTTCAATTCTAAGGCGTGCATGTTACCGTTTTCGACGGATCTGACCGGTGTTTCTTTGTCGACTGACAGTTTGCTTTCTTGAGTTTCCGTATTACGGCTAACGGTGATAGTCGCCCACTCGCCGATTTCTAAGTTTTGCTTGCTTCTCAAAAGAGAAGTGACACCTGAATAGTATTGAAAAGTCACAGCGTTAATAATATTTATGGAATGAACGTGTTTAACAATAATGACAATTTGTAACGTACCAGCTACGGTATGACGGAATTCTAACTGTCTGTTCTTCAATGTTAACGACATGAATTGACCGATTCCTTGGTGGTTTTGAGCAGCATACAATATCACTCCGTCGGCTAGTGACGATGGATTAATTTTTAAGGACATCGTTAATCTAAAATATTTAAATTAATTGAAATTAGCATATAGAGAGAAGGTGAAAATAACCAGTAATAATAGAACATCATTAGACTAGATTATAAGAATTGTGGTATTATATGAAAAACAAATAATTATAATTAAACGTGAAAGAACGGGGGGTTTTTTTTTTTGAACATGAAATGAAAATTTATGAAAATAGAAATTTGTTTTTTTTTTAAAAGAGTGCTGAAAGCAATAATGAAGAAAAATAATATTTGTTCTCAATACTTTTGTTGTGATGTAGGTGCCGGGTATGCTAGATAAGAATTGCTTGAGAAATAAGGTTCGGTGATTTCAACGGTACGTTCACATCTTTTGCCAAGCGTGCCCACTTTGCATTTGCATTCGATTTCTTCGTGACCAGTTATGCATTCTCCAAGTCCACATATACCTAAACAAGGAATGTAAAAATATTTGTTTATATTTCAATAGTACATGCTTTTTTTAGATTTCAAATATTTTTATAATAAAAGCTTACCTGGCGTACACACTTCACGGGTCTTTTCACAATATTCACCACTGTGGCCTGGTTGGCATATACAAGAGTATCCTTCGTTACTTTGAGCCTCTTGACAAATACCTTGGTTCAAACACTGATTGTTGGAACACACATCACACGTGCCTAAGTTATTTTTGTCCACCGAGTCCTTCATCAAGTTGTAAGTTCGACTGTCCGTTTTGAAAATGCTAACGCAACCTGAAAAATTCCGTTTTCGAATCGTACAATATCACGCGTGTACGCATTTATTATGCGTAGAGAATGTTTTCCGGTGTCGCACTCACCAACCAATCCGGATCGGAAACCGACATCTTTGTGTATTGTTCCAAAGTCAGGCACTCCACCGATGTACAGGAGCTGAGCCAGATCCATTCCTTGGAACGTACCCGGGCTAACGCCTTGATATGGGCCCTGTTCGTCGATATACATGGTACCGTGTTTCTTTGTTCTTTCCAGTCTAGCGGTGTGCCATTCGTTTAATGTTACGGGTTCGGACGCCTTGATGATAGCAGCCCCGGAGCCAACGTCAAAACGGAACTCGGGATATCCATTATTCAATCCAAACGAGAAGAAATCGCCGGAGCCACCGTATTTCTGACCGTTGTACAAGATCAAACCTAAGTCAGATGTTGAACGTAAGTGGAAAAATAAAAACCCATTTACGCGAAATTTCGCGTGGTATTAGAATGTCGCCGTACCGTCGCCCATTTCGGGTTTGAAATGAATTTCGATTTTAAATTCCAAATAAGTGTTGAGAAGCGTCGGGAACGCCAAGTAGCTGTTTGTGCCACTGAATGAAGGTACGATTCCGGTGACGGCAAGTACTGTTGGAATGTCTATTCTCATCATTTCATTTGAAGCCGTGCACAAGTATAGACCAGCGCTTTTTTCAGTGATATTGTACAGCGTTAAGTTTCTCTAAAAAAACACAATGTTTGGAATTGATCGACGGGGGAAAAAAACGTCGATACATGCATTTTGTCCATTTACAGGACGATATATCTTATATGCTTTTGATTTTAATGTAGCTTACACGATCGTAGATGGGTTCCATTTGCGGCCCAAACTTGGCCCATGAATATTCGACTGGCGGTGATAAGTCGGTGTTGCACTCAATCACAATGGATTTCCCGTAAGGCGCGTATTTGGAACTCACTGAGGGGAAAGCGGCATCGGACGGGGTCGCTACACAAACGGAACATATTATTGTCACGAGAATGAAACGTATGCAGTGAAACGTTACGGAACACTTACAGAAATTACATTTGGAAAATCGATTTCAAGAAGCAGCAATAATGTGAATAAACATTTGAATAGTTTCAAAAGCAAAGATTTTTTTTTTTAAAAATAATAACTTACGCGTAACGGTCAACTCGTAGTCTTCGGTGATGATGTTGTTGTTTTTGTCGCGCTTCGTACACCTGTAAGTGCCACTGTTTTCCGGTTTCACGTCGTTAAACCTGCAAACCATTAATCAGCCCGATGTTGTCAACAATTTCTCGGAGTAATTATTATTTGAAATAACGCACTTGATTCTAGACCCTTGGTTTTCAACATTGTTTGCCATGTCATCGTTTACTTTACCCCACGAAAGTTCACTATATTCGTTGGAGTTATCGCTGGTCCAGATACATTCGAGCTCAAACGTGTCACCGATGTAAACCGTCCCTTGGCTGGGCTTAATGTACAGACCAGAGTTCCGACCTTCACAAATCACGCACACATGTTACTCGTTGAGCGGATAAAAAATATTAATATGCAATACTATTTACGCGAGATGAATATGAATCAATGTCATATCATGATTTTTACCTGGGCTCAGTTGTGACCGGAATCTATAATGAATTATAGTAGTATGCGTTTAGTGCTTTCTTGATAGATTTAATGTTAAACCGAAAATTATTAAAATAGCGTATGGTAAACGTCGAGCGTGGATATAAGTTAGTTTATTGGCTGTGCGATATATGTTTATAAATTAGTATAAATTTTGAAATTTTGATTTTTTTTTTTTTATTTTTTTTTTTTATGTGATCAAGAAAGCAAAATGCAGTGTATATACATATTTATATAAATATATAAAAAAAAGAACATGGGGAACAAACCAATTCTATTTTTTTTCTGTGAACACGACTTTTCTTCGTCCGACTTGTCGTAACAGTCCGCTATCCCATCGCAGTACTGTGTCATATAAATGCATCTCCCGTCGTTACAGCGGAACTCATCATTCAGACAAGATGCTGGAGATTTGTTAATATAGACAACCACCGTCACCAAAAGCGAAAACCACAATAGAAGTTGACAAAATCGTGCAAGAAGTAATGAAATCATAATATTAAAACTAAAAATTAGCTAAAAATAAATAGGTGCAATATATAAAAATAATAATTAAAATACAATACGTTGTCGAAGAAAACATAAATAATAATAATTGTGCAGGTGTTACTAAGTTGATACAAGTATTCCAACTAACGAACAAAGATAGATGTTTCATTGATTGTTTTTGTTTAAATGTTCTACCCAGCACGTGTATAATAAAGCGTAAGTGTTTTAAAGTAATACTTGTGAAGCAGACAAACATAGTACAAACTACATAGTGTACATGACGTTCTTGTTTAAACTTAGTACATATAAACTTGATGCAGTACAGACATTTCAACAGACAATCGCACTCTATACGTAATTATCAACAACGAAACACCATGATAATTTCGTTGGTATTGCAGTGTATAACAGACATACTAGAATACTAAGACAGTTAAAATTACGCTCGGACACACACAAACCGTGGCAATCTGGCAAGATCAACGGGTCGGCCATCGGATTTGGGACCTTTAAATTATTAGCCTTCAGTAAACCCGAGCTAGTGAATTTATGTTTTCTCTTCACACGATGCTACACTTTTAGCTTAAAATGTATTAGATAAAATATACATGTTGCTCGCAAGTGAGCTATGAAACGTATACCACAAGTGACGATATGAAAATGAAAAATCATGATAAATAATAATTAAATGTGAACGAGAGCATGATAAAAATTTTAAAGGAGTAGATAATTTCAATATGATTGAATGCGTTAAGCTGGTCATTTGTACCTATGTCGATTTTTATCAACTGGCTGTCAGGAAGGTTTAAAGGGTAGAACACGATGCGTACGTTTGTCCTTTTTGGCAACACAATTGCGTAAGTTTGTAGATGGGTAACAAAAAGGTGGGTAAGAAAAATAAATAAACACGATTGCGTATGAAATTGTATGCAACGTTGTCAAATTTACTGATTTTACCGTATTATGCCTAATAAATATATAAATATAGAATACATATACTAACTACATATACTGTTCTACAAAAGTTCACAAGAAAATAATAAATGAAATGAGAATAACTAAATAAAAGAAAAGTAATTAATAAATAAATAACATCGGCAGTTTTTATTTGAATCGAATTATTGTTAAAAAATTATTTGAAAATGCTTAAATTTGGATTCCTTAACATCTATAACCTACTACTTTTACTGAAATTCGGAAAATACTGCATAATATAACGGAAATAACGAAATTTTGTTATATCTGATATATTTGATATCATTAACAATAAACATAGGTAATAAAAGCAATAAAACTCTAAGTATTTATTAACTTTTTTAAGTTTTTAAAGTTCTTATAGGCACGTGGTACATACCAATACCGGTATAAAAATTGGCATCAACGTTTAAAACTTCGTACGCAATCGTGCACCGCCGATAACGAAAGTACGCAATCATATTTTACCCGGTTAAAATGTGATTGTAATAAAACGATAAAGTATAAGAACATAATTTTTCTCTGAACATTTTATATTAAAATCGAATGAAAAGTTATAAAATATTTTGGAACTATTAAAATGTACTAATGAAATAAAAATTATGATGAAATAAATTATTTATGAAGGAATATTTTAATTTTGATCATGAACTCTTTTATTTATTTTGTTACCAGATTACCACTGCATATATATTACATAATATAGTATCCACAATTTGATTAGAGAATAATATAGAAATGAATTAAATAAAGAAAGATAGTTAAGCTTAACATTTAATACGTTACATAGTAATGAACATTTTTAAAACTATCGAGTTAAAAGAAAATATTTTGAGTAGTATACAGTAATGTTAAAATAAGACCAAAAGCAATTTATCATGATATTTAATGACTATCAAAAAAAACCCAATTTTACTCAGAGTTTGTTTTAAAAACTTTTACGAGTGTCTTTGTAATAGAAGAATAATCAACATCCCTATGTTCTAATAAACTTATATTACCCTCTCCACATGTCAATATATTTTTAGATGAATTGTTACTTCGGTTTCAGAAATGTATACATTTGCTTGTACATAGTAAAATAAATAGAAAACCTGTAGAACCGAAAAATCTGTTGTGAAGTTAGACTTTTGAACATTATTTTGTCGTTAAATTTTAAATAATAAGGGTGAAAAATCAGTACCGCTAGAATTTTTTTTAACTTATAATACACGTAGAACAACAGTAAACTTGTAATGTGAACAGGTGAAGTGAACCAGTTATCGAACGAGCAAAGCGTGTAAAGTGGAGTTTTACTTGCGAAGAAGTCAGAAGGCACTGCCCCTTAGTGGCGTGTATAAGTATAATAGAAACTATATTTTAACCAACCACCACCTAGTTATGCTCTACATTACCAAAATAATAATTATAAGTAGATGAGTACACATGCTCTACATGTCCATAAATACTTGTAATTTATTTTTTTTATTATTATATAATAAACTAAATATGATAAATAATAGTAAAAAATAATAACGATAAGAATTAAAACGTTGTTAACATCTGTGACTTACGGAGAACATTGAGATCTATGTGGGCGGTAGTTGAGCCGTAAGGACTATCAACTGTACACGAGTAACGGTCAGTGTCATTCATATGCACGTTTCGTAAACTTAGTACGCTTCCACTTATTCGACTATCACTAGGAAGAGGTGATCGGTAACGGCTCCATTTTACTGTGTATGGCTATTAAAATAATTGTAATTAATTTATACATATTTAATTATACACAGTCAATAGTTGCGACAGTATAAGTGTTGCTTACTTCATTTGACCTTAGAAGTATACACCGGAGAACAGCATTCCCGCCTTCAAATACTTCTTGATTAGGATCAACAGCTCTAATCATTGGAGCTGGACGATCTCGTACGTTATCTAAATCATTATTTTTTTAATTTTTTTTTATTTATAGCTACTAGTATAAAATTATGATAGCTCAATGATTACAAAAAAAAAAAAAAATCATAAATTAAATATAATATTTTCAGGTCTTATAATCAATTTATAATTACTTAAATTTTTAAAGTTGAATAAATTAGTTTTAAATTTTTCTCCTTATGTTCCATGTTATTTTAATAATATTTTATTCCGATATAAAAGTATCGTAGAAATTTTAATTTCTATTAAAGGTTGTTTGTGTTTGGTATATCAAGTAACTGATATTTTATAACTCAACGTTTGGTTGTATAGTCTTACGTTTGGAATAGTAAAAATGATTGCCTTTACAGTTGAACTAATTTAAATCTTACCAATGACCATGACTTCGGCAACGGATTCGGCATCTCCAACATTGTTGACAGCTTTACATAAATATCTACCCTCGTCTTGTTCAGTGATACCATTAAACTGCAAATGTAAGTAAATAAGAATAAAAATTAATTTTATCAGTTTCATGAAAATTTAAAATAAAAAAAACTTAAATAAAATGTACGTACTCTTAATAGTCCGCCGTTTATCTGTACAGTAGGTGATAATGATCGGGTTGTTATTTTTGACCAGGTGATTGTAATAGGTTGATCACCATCTGCGGTACACGTAATTTGAGCGTTGTCGCCTCGTCTCACTACTTGTCGCGTGGGGTTTAATGTTATTCTCGGAGGTTCTGAAAATGGTAGATTATCGTTATTTGATATTTAAACACAAAGAAAATTATAATATTGTTTTAAAGTAAAATTTTTTTTTTTTTGTTACCTCCGATTGAACATAGCTGATTTTTTTCTGATAGCGTGTTAATAATTAATGTATTATTATCTCAATGTAAATGAACCATTAGACAAATCAGATGGTTAGATTATTATGTATGTAATATAAACTTACCAACTACTATTAACATGATAGGTCGACTAAATACTTCGACTGAATTACGGTCAATGCCTATACAATTGTACACGCCCTGATCTTCTTTTTGGACATTTCTTAGAATTAACATGTTGTCGTGGATATCGTGTTCTTCCGATATCGGGGCTCTGTTGCCTCTCACCCATGTTATGGAAATGTGATCTCTAGCAGCCATCGGTCCTGTATTAATTAAACAAGTTCGTGTATTAAATAGTTTAAGTCATTGGGTTTTTATTTGTTATACATACCGGCATTGCAAGTGAGAATTGCTTTGGACCCAACTGTGTTCACCAAATCTTCATTTTTCGGAATCAGTTCAGCGCTCTCGTAATTTCCTGATATGTCTCCTCGGAACGGTCCGGTTGTTTTGTTTTCCTCTTCGTTCTTATGTTCTATAAATTCTCCACCCGATATTTCATTCACGTCTTCAGACACGACTAGTTGTACCCGATCTTCTGCGGGACCTGCGGAATTTTGCGCTACGCAAGAATAAGTGCCAGTATCTGACAATTGAGCACTATCTATTATATATTCTGCTACATTAGAAGAATCTACGCGACTGAACGATTCTACACTGAAATACGAATTTAAATTATAAAAAAAAGGAATTCTTGAATCAAAATTAAATCAATCATACTTTGAGTAAGGTGTGTAACCCCGTGTAAGTTTAGACCAAGAAACAGTAGGTGATGGGTTTCCAGTAGCTTGACAGTTAAGTTTCACTTGTGTTCCGGGCAAGACCGTTAAAACACCAGATGGTCTTAATCTTATAACAGGAACTGATTGTACTTCCAAGACGGCTATAGCTGATGTCATGCCAGCACTGTTCCTAGCTTCACAAACATATTCTCCCGCACTGGCCGCTTGCATGTTATTAATCCTAAATTAAAATTAATTTGAAGAGTTAGGTATAAATATAATGTATATTTTAATGTATATTTAACACATACTTGATTACTCCGGGTGGAATCTCTTCAATTTGGCTCGGTAGACTTTCACCATTGCGCCTGGTCCACTTGATAACAGGAGAAGGGATTCCTCCGGTTACTCGGCATTGGAACAATACGCTACCTCCAATAGTGACAACTTGTCTAGATTGTGGGTATAGCTCGATGGTCGGAGCTTCCCGACCTATAATACACAATTTATATAAATATTTAACATATTACTGTTTTTAATGAGTACATACGTTCAATATCAATAATGGCCGATGATTGTCCTGATCCACCTTCGTTAGTAGCTTTACAATAATAAATACCGCGGTCTTTAACTTGAGCTGATGGAATGCGGAGGATAGATCCAGTTATCTGAAAAAATAAAGAAAACGTGAGTTATTATTTAAAAGTAAAAAAAAAAAATGTTATTACATTATGCAATGGCTATTGGGAATATAAACGAGTAAAAACTAAAAGTAATTTGTTCGCGAAAGAATATTGCTCTCAAATCTATAATTCACGGTTCGTTTATTATAGAACACTATTTAATAAATAGTATTAAATCAAACAAAGCACAAAAGTAAACTCTCATTTTTACCTGAACATTTGACGTAAAATTATCATTGGCTTTAAACCATTGTACTTGTAGATTTGGATCGGTAGTCGATATACATCGGAGTTCAGCAGAGGTACCTTGAGGCACTGTTTGTCTGTCTGGTTCAATACGTAATATTGGCGCATTTCTAAGTCGAAAAAAATAATTTTTTGCAATTTTATCTATAGATATTAAATTTAATACTAATATATTACCTTCTTTGGATAATATTAATTGGTACTTCTACTTCAGATTCAATAGCATTAGATCTTAATGAAAACGCTGAACAAACGTACACACCAGAGTCGGAAGGTTTAACACGGTTGAGAGTCAAGAGCCCACCACTTTGTAAAGAACCATAAGGCAAAGGTTGATTTCCTATTTTGGACCATTTTAATTCATATTGGGACTCATCTGAAATTATACACTGGAGACGAACTAAGTCTCCCGGTCCAGAGTATTGTGGTGGATCGACTGTTATCCTTATTAAATCGTTTGATCCGTTTATGTTTGGAGTGGCTGTTTTAATAAAACAGAATGTTCAGTGGATATAATAAAAATAAATATGATATTAGTTAATTTACGTTTAATGTAAATTGTAACTTTCTGAGAATCGGTTTCTCCGTTTTTATTTGTCGCTCTGCAGAAATAACTTCCTTGGTCAGATTGCCTTACAGCTGGTATACGGAACACACCATCTTCCGATGAATACTAAATTTTAAATCCAAATTTAATTGATTATTTCAGTTATGTGTAGTTAAAATTAACTTGACCACTTACAGATGGATTGAATTGTTGTTCTAGTCCTCTGTACCATTCTAGTGTGGGTGAGCCAGGAGATTGACAAACAAATTCAGCAGGTTCTCCAACAAAAAGTTCCAGGAATTTAGGTTTGACTAATACTTTTGGCTTGACTACACTTCCTAATTATTAAAATAAAGTTTATATGTTTCATAAATAATTAACAACATTTTTTTTTAAAAAAATTTAACAAATTTTTCGTATTTTCAAATATTTATCTACTAATCTATTTTTACCAATAATTTTTATATCCTGACGAAATTCTAATTTGAGAGCATGGAATAAAAAAAATATAAGTTTATTTATCATTATATCATTATAATTAACTAATTTAATTCGTTAATACCTCCAACGGCCAGTGTTTTCTTTTCACTGATTACGGAATAACCATCCGAAGCAGTGCACACATACACTCCAGAATCTGATACGTCAACATTTGTAAATAGTAAGTATCCTTTTCCGTTGTCAATCACTCTATTAATTGGTAAATCTCCATCTTCTTTTGTCCATTTCAACTTTACAACCTAGACAATTATTCAAAAATTAATGGTACCTATATATTATTTTCTGTCGTGCTGTTGAAAATTAAAATCTTAATTACTTGATTGCGTCTAGATCTGGCATCACATCTAAATCTGACGGTATTACCGATTTCTACTATCTCGATTGATGGGTCTGAAATGGTGATATAAATTTCTGGCTGAGGTAGTGGCGGTCTTTTGGTTGTAACAGTTTGATCTGATATTGAAAGAATAAGTTACATGATTAATAATTTAATTAATAATTGTTTTAAGGAAAATTGAAGAAATTGTTTTGTATTTATTATTTAATATTCATACCGGCTATTCTCAGTGTTTTTCTGTCATTGAATGATGAATAACCGTCATTTGCTGTGCAAATATATACTCCACTATCTGCAGGTTCTATATTCGTTATATACAAGTCGCCTGACCCATTATCTTGCGCACGGTTAGAAGGTAAATACCCATCTTCTTTAGACCATGATATTCTTATTCTCTATAAATCGAATGAATAAAAAAAGTTTTCTTTGCGAATTATGTACAATAAAATATGTTTTACTTGTGTGCGACGGGAATAGGCAGTACAGTGCAATGTCACTGTACTACCGATTTCAACGATTTCAATTTTTGGTTCAGATATTTGTATGAAAATTTCTGGTTGCGGAAGTGGTGGTGGTCTGCTGGTTGTTGTGACTACCAGTGAATCGTTCTCTAAAATTAAAATATTATAGATATGTTATTTAATATTATAATTTGCAATTTTAAATAGATTCCCGAAAAGTTCTGAAGAATTATTGAAAACATAAATATAACAAACAGTATAAGTACTTTTTATTATTATTATTAATCCATTGATTTTCTAATAGTGAAGTACAATAAATAGTTATCACAAAGGTTAGTACAAGTAATTTTAGTAATAGAGTAATTTTAATGTTCTAAATAAATAAAATAATCTATGTTTACTTGAGAATTTTATTTATTGTTACAAAAATGTTTTGATAGTTATAGATCTATAAATAGTTTATATTTAAAACATATGAGTTTGTTAAATATGTTAAGTTTTAAGTGTAAAATATGTCAAATAGAAACGTAAATTTATATAACTTATTACAACTATTTTCATATAAATATTTGTTTCATAAATTTCCCTGAAAGTGATACTACATAGATACAGAGATACTACATTAAGGATATATATTAAAACGGTTACAACGAATATTTAGTTATTTATAAGAACATATAAAATTATTTAATATATTTGAACTAATTTCAAGAGGTTATATAGTCCAAAAATTATTTAGTATTACAAAGTAAATAATACTGTATCAAATTTAAATAATACTCGAAGAAATTTTATAATTTGATATTTGTTTCATATTATAGAAGTGATAATTTTCAATGTATTATCAATATTCTGATAACTGAAAAGTTATCCAAAAAGAATACAACCAAAGCTTAATATTAATGAAAAACAACAATTGTGTTTTTTTAAATAAGTTACAGGTACTTTGAAGATCCCAAATGTTTGAGCCACTAATAATATTTTTGTCTGTAGCACCTGATATTATTACTGCGGAAATCAGTCCGAGTAGGTATCGATCTTTATTGTATAAACTACATTCAACTGTTGATAAGCCATTTCTAATTCGCACCATAAGTACGCGTTCGCCACCTCCCTCGATATTTTTAATCGACACATATTGACTATCGGTATCATTGTACACCATCGAATCACCGTAACGTACATGCATTTCCATATCCATTGGTATGGTGCTAGTAAAATTGCACGTGAAATTTACAATGGTCCCTACAGGTTTAACTATAGTGTCGGTAGGAGTCAGTCTTAATGCAGTTACCGATGACGGTAATTTAGTCGAATCTAACAAACTTAAATTACTCGCTGAAATAAAATACAAGTTTTGTAGACACGTGTTAAGTGATTTGGTTATTTTTTTTGTTCTGTAATCAAATTGTTGATAAATTGTTATACCTAATTAATTTGTATTAAAATTGTTGGTTTACCTAAGATGTTGCACGATGCGCCTGTGTATCCGTGGTTACAGTTACACGTGACTCTTGAATCTGAACCTAAAGAGCAGCTTTCTTCATTGGAATTACATGGACATCTAATGCACTTATCATCTGCGTCCTTGTAATATCCGACACTGCACGTCTAAAAAATAAAATGATTTACTCGTTGAAAACAGTTATCTGTAATCAAGAATAATATAAACGACCACGAAACTTACTTCACACGATGTTCCTCTATATCCAGCAGGACATCTGCATACTTCGACGTTGACCGACCGTTCACCACCTGTATCCGTTTCAATAGCTGTGTCTAAACTTACGTCACTAAGATATGTTCTATTAGTTTGAGAAGCGTGTATTGCACGAATTAAGATGGCTTCGATGGACGAAAGAACTTTCATGAATTCAGCTCTTGATGCCGGTTGTGGTCCCGATGAAATCAATCGACGCCAACCTTTCTCTACTAGATGAGCATTTAGTAGCTAAGAAAAAAAAAAAGGAAAAACAAAATTACATATGAAGCATTTAGATAAAATAAGAAGCAAACATTTACCGTTGGCTCGTCCGGCCGAATTTTTTTATCGTTTGATTTAAACAACCATATTCCATTTCCTACAAGTATTATATCTGTGTCGTCGCGTATTATAGATCCTGGCAGTGAAGTGTAGCGTTGAGTCCAATTGAGGTAACCTCCATAGGATGTAATCTAAATTTAACATAGAATGATATTGTTTAAATTAGTACAAAGTGATAAATTCTCTTTCAAATACATATAATATTAATAATACTGAACCTTATTTCCGGTAAATGAAGATGGTAATGACCAGAACAATTGTTCACCACGATTTGGAGTGTAATCGTATCCAATTTCGTTTTTAGACACATCAGTTGAAAAGCCTGATTTAATAGACCGGGTTCTGGTTCTGAAGAAAAAAAAATAGTTATAATTTCTACATTTTTCATCTAAATAAATATATCAAACCTATCAGTTAAAATAAAACCGTGATTTGGTCCAAATAATTGCATTGGAATTTGAGTAATAAATAAATTTGACGAATAACAGTTTTGAGAAACTCCGGAACAGAAACATTCTAGACATCCTTCTACAAGATTTTCTGATAAGCCATATGTGCCTCGTCTACAACGATCACAACGTGGTCCTTCTACATTGGTCTAAACATTTTGGTTAATTATAATTATGTAATTAATTATTATTTGTATTGGTTTTTTTTTTACCTTGCAAATACAATTATTATCTCGACAAGGTAATAAAGTGCCTCTCGAGTCGCAATCGCAGACTGGTGTCAATTCACTGGCTACGCATGGTTCACCTCTTTCTGGATTTCCTATATATCCAGGCAAACATTCGTTACATTCTTCTCCCGTAGTGTGATTTTGACAGTTCTATGAATTCAGAATAAATAAATTACAAACAGTTATAGTATTAACCTATTTTCTCCAGTTAGGTAAAAATTTACTCACGATACAAGTTCCAGTTTCAGGATCACAATGATTTGAATGACCATTACAAGTGCATGGCTCGCATATTCCTAAATATAAGCCAATACCGTCATGTCTAGTATATCCAACAGCACAATCTTCACACGATAGACCGACGTATCCGTCTGGGCATGAGCATTCTTCTACTTCGACGGCTCTATTTTGGCCAGTGTTAGACAAATCGGCAACATCGAGTGAAACCGACTGTATCCTGTGATTGTATTAACCATTCAATAATTAGTTACCGCTATAATTTTAACCTCCGTGATATTACGTACGCTACTTCTTTTGTTCCAGTCGTGTAAGTCGCTTTAATTAATATGGAGTTCAAACCAGCCAAAGCCATTAATAGATGTTCACGAGTTGCGACTTGACCATCGGGTCGTTGCCAGTATTGTTCTAATATTTTCACTGAAATGGTTTTTAAAGTATTGGGTTCTACGTTTTCACGACTATAATGTAATAATCTGATTTTGTTGTCCTAAAACGATCACACAATATATATGAACAAATGTACAAGTACAGTGATTTAAAAATATTTTATTCTTACACTAATCAGTTCAATATCTGGAGCACTATTTCTGGAAGATTGGCCACCTGGTACAGGAACATGTCTCAATGTATAACTCAATGAGCCTCCGTATGAAGTTATTTTGTTACCGAGGAAACGTGGAGGCAATTTCCAATAATATACCTAATAATAGAAAATAATGTGAATTTGTTTAATACAGAAATGTAAAATGGTCATTTATACATCTTGACTGCCTGGTGGGAAGTCTGAATAAATTAGTTCTCTGCTATTAGGATCCACGTTTACGTTTGGCACTGGAGTAATATCTCTGCGCAAAACTAGTTTGATATCTTGGCTGGTTCTTGCAAATGTTGTGAAGACCTAGAAATAATAAATTTGAGTACACTCCTTACACATCTTACAACCCAAAAGGAATGTTTACTTGTTGTCTGTAAAGCCTAGAACTGGAACACTGATTGGTGATACCCATACAAAAACAGCTAGTGCAACCAAATTGATTGTCTGCAGCTAAGTTAAATGTGTTAGCCTTACATTGATTACACAAATCGCCAGTTGTATAATCCTAATAAAAGTTAATGAAAAACCATAAATTTTTACTATTTCTTTTTTTATTACTAAGAGTATTGAATAAGAAAAGCGTTTTATTGAAGGTGATATGAAATAAGCTTACCACAAGTGTCAATATTTAAGAGAGCATTAGCAAAAATAATGTAATAAGATTAATAATTATTCAGAAAACAATAAAAATTATTGAGACTTACCTTACAAATACATTTTTTAGTATTCTCATCGGGATATGGAGATAAGGAACCCGTCTCATCACATATACCTGAAATTAAATACTGTAAACATTCTCACTTAAAAACAGTATTAATTTTTGCATACCTCTTTTACAATAGCCTCCCGGCTGTAAAGGATTTCCTGTATACCCTGAGGCACATTTTTCACAACTTCGTCCAACATATCCGTCGTAACAGTTACATGTTGGTAATCCGTCAGTGTCTAAATAACAGCTTCTACCAAATCTATAAGATATAATGATGAAATATAGTATTATTATTTAAAAACAAAAAAAATTGCGATTTACTGATTGCCAGATGATGTCAAGGGACAAGGACAATGTTTGCATGGAATTCCTCTCGATGGATCTCCATACATTCCAGTTGGACAGATTTCTAATACTTCTTTATAACATTGTCCTAGCCAAGAGCCTTGTTGTCTGCGTATATATCCAGGAGCACAGCTCTTTAACAGTTAAATATAATATAAAAACGTGAGGGCGCTAAATATAGTAGTTTGAGTAAAAAATGTACTTCGATACTTTTATTATTTAACGTTTATTTATAAATTTAGTTTTGTTAGTAAAATAAAATGTATATTTACTTCACACGATAAGCCACTATAACCTGGTGGACATTGACATTCTTCTACATAAGGTGTGTGCTCCCCGTTCGCATTATTTGATGTTTGTGCAGAATCCATCTTTATATTGTTTATATTTATTTCTGATTGTTCATTCAAATATTGACCCCTAAAAAAAAAACAAAAAAATAAATAAATAAATATATATATATATATATATATATATATATATATTAATGAGATAGTTACCTGATTAAAATGTTTTCTACGTTAGATAATACCATCATTACTTCTTCCCTGGTAGCCAGTTTATTTGAAGAACTTGAACCTGTGTTTTCTTTTTGCCAAACATCGGCAAATAATCTAGCTGAAACAACTGTGTCAGAGTTTGCTGGTATTTCAGGAGCAAAGTACATAAGTTTAACGCCATTTCCCTAATAAAAATTTGATGTGCCATTATTTAATTAATTGTATAAATTATAAATAAAATTTCTTACGATCAAAATAATGTCTGGTGTGAATAAAATTGGTTCTCCAAATCCCTCGTGTCTAACTGTGTATTTTATATATCCACCATAAGATTTAAGTTGATTGCCTAAGTAGCTTTCTGGGAATTTAAAGTAAGGGAAATTAGAATCAGACGCCTGTGAATTGTTTCTGGGTGTAAACATTTGCAACGCTTCGTTGATGACCACTGGGTAAGTAGTTGAACTTGCCGATTTTATCATAGGTCTTAATGAAGAAGGTTCAATGTATACACTGGTTAATCTGAGTTCATCCAACGAAGGTTTATTCTAGAAGTAATAATATATAACTGATTAAATTGATCTGTATTTGATTTTAAAATATCGTATTATACCTGTGTCTTGTACAGATTGGAACTTCTACAAGCACTTGAGATTCCGAAACAGAAACAATTGATGCATTCATTCTGAGACCTAGCTACATCATTGAAAGTTCCTCGAGGGCATGAGGTCGGTGGTGGTGTACTTGTACGTTTTATTTCTAATATTGTGTCTGGAACTGCTATTTCAGATCCATGTATATTAATACCTTCACAACTGTATGCACCTTTATCGGATTCCTAAAATGCATCAAATATGTCAATATATATATATATATATATATATATATATATATTAAATAAATAAATAGTCATATGGTTATAATCAAGATACCTGAACGTCGGGACACGTGAGAGTACCAAGTCCATCAACGCTTTTCATTTCACATTTTGTTGGTACGTGGCCCCAATTGAATCGCCATGATATCTCTGGGGTTGGTACACCAACAGCTCTACATGTTGTTACAAATGTTGATCCAATTTCAAGTGTTATCAATGGTGGTGGTGTGGTTTGGAATTGCACAGGAACTAAAATGTCGTAGTTATAAATGTAGTTATCAATTTAAAAAAGTTATATAAACATAATTTTACTTACGACAGCCGAATTCATCACTACCATCCGAACAATCACTTTGAGAATCGCACTGGAATGATTTCGGAACACACTCTTTGTTTCGGCATTCAAATTCGCTGGTTAGACACCGACTGCCTGTAAATTAGTAATGAACTAAAGTGAAAACTGGTCAAATATACATGATATATTCTATTGATGAATTTACGTGCTATTCTGATAATATATGCATAAATTACATACATATTATAATTATTGTACATATATATATATATATAAAATGAATAAGTCAAATATTGTGGCATTTTTTATACGTACCCGGTGGTGTTGGTTCACAGTTTTGTTCGTCAAAATTGTCTCCGCAGTCATCTTGACCATCGCACTTCCACGTTTTAAGTATACACTTTTTGTTACTACAACGGAACTCATTAGGTTGACAACCAAACATATCTAAGTATTAAAGTAGATAGATTTGTTATAAGTTATATGTCATAAGTATTAAAGTAGTTATATTATCTAAACGTATTCATTTCAAGTGAAAGAAAGTTTAAACATACTGCAGCGGGTTTCATCGGATCCATCTGAACAATCTATTTGGCCATCACAAACTTTTGATTTTGGTATACATTGTTTGTTTGAGCACGTAGCTTCATTGTAACCACATGCATCTGGTGGGCGAACTGTTACATCAATCCCTGAAATATTTATATTATTATTAAAATAAACAAATGTGTTCGCATTCAATTATTATATGAAAGATTAAATAGTTTTTTCAGTACCTAATGAATATTTTAAGTACTTAAATTAGTATTTACTTACATGACGATCAAATAAAATTGTCAGCAAATAAAATAAATGAGTTTTATAATTAATACGTACTATAAGTACATTGATGTTTTTTAGAACAGCCACTCTATTTACGTACCTGAATATTTATTGAAATTAAAATGTCTAGTCTTAGGAAAACCAAGTTTCCATTTATTATTTATGTTGGGAATAATATGTTTGTTTTTCCGTGCAGCTTGTATTTTGTACATTTTTTATTTTAATTTTTTATTTTAAATTTATTATTTCTAACTGTTAAGACTCTACTTACATGGTTCTACTTTTAGATACACAGAAACACGAGATCCAGGGTCTGAAGCTGAAAATCCTATAGCTTCGCACACGTATGTGCCAGTATGTTCAACCTGTTTAATGTTGTGTTGGATATATTAGATTTCAGGGGCAATTCATTGATAAAACTTAGACTTACCTTGATGTTCGGCATTTCTAGTCGGCCAGCAATATCTCTAGATCCAGGAGGTAAATACAATCCGTTGGCTCGAGACCATCTGACCGGTGCTCTTAAAGGACCTTCGTCTCGACATTGAAAAACTACTTCCCTATCTATTTAACGAATAGAAAATAACACAATATTTTAACACAAGACATAAATCCGTTGAAATAAACTACCCAAAGCAAAATTCGATATGCTAATTACATGCATAATTAATTGAATACATTGTAATGATGAATATTAACTATAAAAATACTTCATAAATAAATAAGATAATGTATAATTTATGATTTGATTTTACAAAAATTGTTTGCGAACAATCACACTGATATTATCTTCAATATACGAGTACTTGCATAAATGATACTTCTTATGATTTATTAAATATGTGATATAAAAAAATTAAATATTTAATCGTTTTTTAGTGATTCTAAAATAATTATTTTTATATTTAAATTTCCATAAATTGAAATATTCACACAACACAAATTAAGAAAAATATATGCATGGAATTACTATTATGCTGATTACATGCAGAATTAATTGAATACATTGTAATGATGAATAGTATTAGCTATAAAAAAAACTTCATAAATAGAATAAGATAATGTATAATTTATGATTTGATTTTATAAAAATTGTTTGCGAATAATTACACTGATATTATCTTCAGTGTATGAGTACTTACATAAATGATACTTCTTATGATTTATTAAATAAGTGATGTATAAAAATTAAATATTTAATCGTTATTTAGTCATTCTAAAATATTTATTTTTTTATATTTCAAGATCCATAAGTTGAAATATTCACACAACACAAATTAAGAAAAATACATGCATGGAAATACTATTTAAATTCCGATTAAAATATAAATATATTAAACTAATTAATTAATACATACATTAGTCTTTAAAAAAATATCATGCGATCGTACTTAAAACAATACTTATTTATTTGTAAAAAATAAATGTATTACAGAGTTGAGAGTTCCTAAATACATATTCTTATGACGCGAATGATTGTCATGCAGTAAAAATGATTAAATGATTTAGAAAATCAACATCTGTTCGATTTTATATGAATTAACCATATAATTCCCAGTGCATGCATGATATTCAGCACAGTATGTATACGTAAAGATTCATAAATCAAACACCCGAAAATGTCCAATGAATATGGTCTTACCTTTAGAGTCTAGCAAGAAGAAATCAGAAATAGAGTGCATATAAGGAAATAAAAAAATGTGCATTAATATTAATTGTAAAATAATTAACATTTAGTTAAATTGTAAAAATAAAGTGAATCATTAATGATTAACAATATTATTCGAGTAAACTTATCTGGGAGATTACAAAATATATTGAATAGCTCTCAGTTACAATACATATATTGATGTTGTAAATTATAGTTAATTTAGAAAACAAATTGGTTTCATATTTTTAATATTATAAAATTTACGAAAGTTAATCAAAATATAGAACGAATTTCTGGTTCATGTTATTTGAAAAATTAGGATTTGTGCAGATGTAGCAGTATAAATGTGTAATGCAGCTGGTTAATAATAAGTAAAAATATTAAATGCATTGCATAAAAAATTCAATATTTTAAATCAATCACAATTTATATTTCTATGGAAGTTTATATCGATTTAATGTATGATATTGTATCACACATTTATTTTAGGATATTAATGTGTTATAAAATATAACAGAACTTACGGATCAGATTATTTTTAAAATAAGAGTATTAACAATAGGTAGGTATATGTTTGAATTAGGCGTACTTAAAATAATATAAATAATATAGCGATAATAAGAGGCAACACTTACTTTCTTTGATAGTTTGTTCGTTTGGATAGGTTTTTAAATTTAAACCTTCCGGAGCTTCATCTAAAAAAAATAATTTTCTTTTGAATAATAAATATTTTAACAAAGTAAACACATTTACTATTTAAATAATATTTCGCATAATTGATTAATTAAATCAAGAAAAAATAAGATAAAGAAGGTTTACATTTTTAATTCAAATGAATTTGAATTAATGAAAAGACGGAATTGCAAAGTTTTTTCTTTTGGTGACGAGAAAACACAAGTACCTAGATGAATAAAAATATGATGACTTCCTAAATATTGTAAAATAAAGTATTTAATTACTGATCACTGATTATTTTGAACCCTAAACTTAATTATGTTTTAAATCAAATGAAAACCTCTGTAAAAATATTTTAAGAACCAATAAATATGAAAAATTTAAAATTTAAAAAATGTAGTGTTAAAATTATATTACTTATTATATACATTACTTAAATCCAAATTAAATTTCAGATACAGTAGTGTATACAAGGGGGGTGTTTGGTAGATATGACACCCCCCTTGAGCCGTATCATATATTACATTATTATAGGAATATAGGTAAATCGATAATACAATATGAAATATAAAATAATGCACAATACGAATTACATATAACAGGTTAACATTATCGCGATTGCGATAATACGTGATGAAAATTATTCGTTTATGTTTTTGTGCAACACAAAACGTTTAATAATAATAGGTATTGTAGCATCGAATACTGATATTCGAATAGTTTATGGTAAAGCTATCCGAATTCGAATATACATTACATCTCTATTACAGACATTTTGTTATTTATATTAATTAATTAAAATAAAAGTTTTAGTTCGTACGAATTATATATAATATTTAATAATTATAATTAACACCCTCCTTCAGAAAATCCTAGCTACGCCACTGTTCAGATATCAATAGTTGGGTGATATTTAAAATCAACAATAGAAAATATAACATGAAAATACAGAATAATTTTTTTAATTTTACAAAACTAGTAATCTTTTTGCTGTCGGTTAAGTTTTGTGAACTCACTGCAATTGTCTTCGTCCGAATAATCTTGGCACTCGTAGTTATTGTTGCATTTCGCCGATTTTGGGACGCACTGCTGACCATTGCGACAGGCGAATTCATTCCAATTGCAGGTCACGAATACAGGCCCAAAATCGCTCTCCTGGCGTTGTGTGGTTGAGGTGGTTATTAGTGGTTGGTTAGTGGTCGTTGTGGTTGGACCTGTGGGATAAACCATTTAAAAATTATCGCACATAATTTTAAAATGGTCGTATGATAGTATTGAAATTCATTATTTCGATGCTGAACCGTAGTCTTCATTTATAAATTAATAACATAAAATATATTATTCATGAGTAATTACGAAACACTTCCACAACTTATTATTTAGTAAAACTGCCGAATCCACCTTGAACCGAAAAAGTGAGGTGGAATTTTCAAGAAAATTCGAAAAGAATCGGTTTAAATTTCTCGAGGTTGTATGCGAGGGGATTAGAATAAAATATACGATGTCAATTTGAATGAATTGAATGGACCGCCAAATGTATTTATATAGCCGAATCGGTTTTGGAATCCAACCCACGTGGCATGTAAACGTGTATACATATAAAACAAACATAGAAAAAAATTAACTCGAAAGCAGCAGTACGAATCTGGGGTTTCTCTAAAAAGTTGTAAAGTTTAATTTAAACCGTGGAAAATCGTATTCATCGTACGTGTTTGTAGATATGAATAATGTACCGGTGTATATTTTCATACCCCCTTTCGAAATGCAAAAAATAATATAAAACTATGTTTTATGAGTTTATTGAAAACTTTTTAGAAACAAATTTAATTTTATTTATTCGCGAAGTTTTATTTAGGTCTATAAAGTAATAACAGCGGACAAAATCCAGAATCCACCATCGTAGTGCACATTGTACTCGAATCGATTCGTAGGTTGTTTCGTACACCGAACATTACATTACCATTAGCATTTAAACAAGAAAGAGAAAACCTTCCCGTTCGTCTGTCAATCGTTGGTTCGATGTACAGCGAGTGGGCAATGCGAAAACGACTGAAAGTTAGCACAAGAGTCCACAAAAAAAAAAAAACAATTAACATTACGGTTGTTGTGCTGCAACAGCATCATCGTACGCGGAGATAAACGATCGGATAGGGGATGGGGTAGTGCGAGGAAATGTCGGCGAACGGATCTGAACGTTCGATCAACGCAACACGCGGGCGGGACGTCGAAATTTTTCAAGAGCCATCCGCCTACGATGATGACATTGTCGCGACGTTACAGCATTAAAACCACGTAAATGCCCTACATCGGCACACGCGTGGGCGCGCGCATAATGTTATTAGTAGTGCCCTGTAAAAGCTCACGTATTGCGATTCCGACCGGGGTGGGGCGGGGGTAGGGGGTCGCGTACTTACCGCAGTCCAATTCGTCACTCTGATCCTGACAGTCGTTAATTCGGTCGCAGCGGTATTCGCTTTTCACGCAGCCGCCGTTGCGGCATTGGAACTCGTTGGGAAAGCACGTCGAAACGGCCGGCGTAGGAGACTCGGGCATCGGCTCAGGCCGGTCGTCCGGGTTCGGGTACGTTGGTGCAAGCCCGGTGCTGTCTACGTGATGATAGTAGCGTAGGTAGGTACACAAAAAGCCACAGAACAGAAATACAACAGTATATCACAAAACTACCCCGAGTACACAGTAGTTAAAGCAAACGAATAAATATAAAAATAAATAAAACAAAATATATAATAAAAAAATGACTAAATGTTGTTGTTAGTTGTTGTTGTTGTTGTTATTATTATTATTATTATTTGTTCAGATGAAAATAAGCGATGCCGTACAAAAAAAAAAAATAAATATAGTACAATAATATTAATTGTTATCATGTGTATATTTTTTGTTATTGTTAATTACGTGATGTATGCAAATGCATTTTGGAAAGTCGAAACTTTGCTGTGTAAACGTTTCGTCGTGATGTGCATTGTTGTGCGTTTAATGTTGACCGTAATACTACAATATTGTATACTATATTAGTACCGAGCGCGCGCGCGAAAAATCGCGGCCACATAATAATTATTATTATTGTTGTCGTCGCTGTCGTATTTGTTGTTGTTGTTCTTGTTACTATTTTGATTATTACCGTTTTTGCAATTTTTCTCGTCCTCTGCGTTCGGACAATCCTTACGGCCGTCACAAGCTTTCGACAAGTTAATGCAAGTCATGTCGGCACACGTGAAATCCGATTGAGGGCAAGGTGCGAATATGGTGTCTACACATCGTAAGCGTGCCACAACAAGATAAGCATTAGAATATTAAGAACGTGAACATTGGAAAACAACAATATCTATTATTATGTATGTACAAGTTATAGGTGTGCGTGCGCGTGTGTGTATATATATGTGTATAATAATGAAAATAGCACACACACATCCACGCACACTCATATAATAACTGAAAGACAGACAGACGGACAAAACTTAGTGAACTCATCTTCATCAATTTTTTTTTCAAAAATATTTGTAGTCTTATACATTTTAAAGGTACGTTGTAGAAAGATTCGGTTTGTTTGTTCAATGTTGTCCTGCGAAGTTACACAGGACAGCATACTACAAATAATAAGATTGACTATGTAACTACCCGAGTTCTCAGTATTATGCAGATCATTGGGTATTGCTTTAATCGCAAGCTGTATCGAGAAATCAGGTTTTTCCATATAATGCCGTTATATCGGCGGAGGAATTTTTACTTGCTTTTTAGTTATCCAATTTGGATAAAAATTATAGAGGAACTACTATACTTCGAAATGAGCGATTCTCTGAACTCAAATAATGACTGATACTAATTGTTCGGTTTTATCGAATACAGGGGAAAAGTGTGGATGCCTAAAATAGTTTATTAGGGCGATCGTCAAACCACTCGATTGATCATTCCTTTAAAAAAATTTTACTTTATTATATTTAATTTATATATGCTATTGAAAATTGCCTATTTGATTTAAAAGTTATATTGCATAACCGGAATAGAAAAATGTATAGATCAATTTTGTACTATACTTTATTGAAAATTAATACAAACAGTTATCATTTATTTCTTTAAGAGTTCATCACATATATTCTCAATTCAAGTTATTACATTTTGTTGAAAATTACATAATAAGAATTTAAAAAATACTATTAAAGTTTGATTATAAATATGTTTAATATTTGATGAGTCATAGTTCACTAGATTTCATCTGAAGGGACAAAACTTAACACAAACAAAGGATCTCATTTGAGATCCTTGTTTGGTGCTAATATTATATACACATAAATATGGTTATTGTAAGTATAAAAGACAAGTATTTTAAGTATTATAATAAACATGGTTATAAGAATAAAAGACAAGAACGTTAAGTATTCACAGTTAAATTTAAAAACACGTTAACATTACGTTACCTAATTTATGAAACACTAATTAATTTTAACGGAATCGGTTAGAACAATCAGCAATGTGTGATAATAATATAATACTAACCAAAATATAATTAGGAAATAAAATGTTTACGTTTAGCTAATTGCATAAAACATTGAAGAGATGAAAGATAGGGTAGGGAAGAAACTACTCGTTTGGAGATCAATGACGATGTTAAAAAAGAAAAATCGTGTAGGTATCGTTTAATTGTATATTGGGTGCTAAGAAATGTTCAAATTGTATTTTAAACCGAATATTATCCATAGACTAATCATATAATCTTGCATGTACGTATGAAATGTCGAAGGTTTTTATTAAAATTTCAGAACACTGTTTCATATAGAATAATGTTTAAAAACAATCATTTTTTTTAGTGTATATATATATATATATATATATATATATATATATACATTGTATATACAATATACAGTCGATTGTTTGAAGAATATAATTTTTGAAATTAAATATGTAAGAGTAAACTAAACATAATAAAATATTTGTGATACTTGTTGAATAATATACCTTATTACCTAAGAAATCTCTGAATTTTAATGAATACGAAAATTCTTAATATCCTTAGAAAACTTTTTAGCGTCAATAATAGTGTACTAAAATTTAAAATACTACTAAGCCTTTTTGCTTATATTTAGTTTATGGTTTATTATTAACTACACCAAACTAAATATAAGTATATGTGTGCTGATGATATGGAGTTTAAGTGCATTTTGTGAAAAGCCAAATAAGTACAATAACATTGCAAGTACATTTTCATGTAGTACATTGTAATACATGAATGTGCAACATGATATTACAACACCAGTGTTATATGTGTATATTTTTAGGAAGCGACCTTAACCGTTAAAATTACATCATTATTTAGGAAATGGTTCGTGTTTTTACTCGAGAACGTCAATTAAATCCAGTAATTGGGCACCCTACACAAAAACATGAATATCAACAATATGTGTATTGTACCTGTGTAGTTCTCTTCAAAGGGTAACTGACAATTATCTTCATCTTCATGGGCGCTACATTCAACTTTTCCGTTACATCTTTTGTCGATGGACAAACACTGACCGTCATGACACCTGAACTCGTCGGGTCCACAATTCACTAAACATCAATGCATAATAATGTGTGAATAAATTTGATTTGTTTTATCCAACTTATCATATTTTTATAAAGTAGTGTAATGTAATAAAGCCCTCGACAAGATTTCAAGCATAACTGCGGCACTGATTAGAATGTAATATTAAACTGTTCAATTACAGCTTACTTATAATGCCGTAAATGCAAAATATTACTATCGAAACGTATTATTTACCGCAATCTTCTTCGTCAGATCCGTCATCGCAATCGACGCGGCTGTCACATTTTTTTCTTATATCTATGCACTGATCTGTGCTTCGGCACGAGTATGAATTAATCGAGTCACATACTCTGTCAGCTGTAAAACAATATAATAAAATATAAATTATTATTATCGGCTCACAAACGTAAATCTACGAATTAAATGAATCGACTTCAATGCATATGCTGGACAACACAGTGCAATTACAAATATTTCGATAAAGCTTAGATGCGGAATTTTGCATAATAGTATAGTGTAGACTACAATACGATACGAAATCATAACGTACAAAGTATAGAAGTGTCGAACCTTTTCGACAAATTAAGCAGTTCCCGTTTAATAATGCAACACCACCGACTTTTACCTTATTCATCAGACAATCATTAACTATCGTGATAATAGACGAAAAGACTTATATAATAAATAGGTATCAGCATTTTTTCTTTAATAAATACGTTTGTACATGTGTAAAGCTAAAAATATAAATAACAGCATAAAAAGAATGGTGTGAAATTATAATTATAGATAGTTTCATCGGTAGACGTACGTATGATTAATAAACCAAAGATAACATGTATCTACGTGTTAAATGGACTTAATGCCGTAAGAGATGTAGGTTGATTGTAAAAAAGTGCGAATGAAAATTAAGTGCTGGACGAGAAACATAATTTTACGACGCATATCCAAAGTTAAATTTCGACCCGACAGTTTTGATAACATACGACAATTTTCTTCGTCGGAACCATCCTGACAATTTTCTATTCCGTTGCATTGAAGGGTTATGTCCAGACAAACCAAAGTACGACGACATTGAAATTGCCAAGTACTATTACATGCTGCGATGATAAAAAAAAAAAAATGTCCACAAATCAGTTTGTTTAAAATAATAGTTCTATGTATATGTACAGTGGGTAATAGTTTAACTCAACGAAATAAATAATGATTTTTGAAAGTAACGTTTTGAATTAAAAAAAAAAAAAAGATAATTAATAAAACTTTAGTCTTTTAATAATCACAATTATAATTTAAAAAAAGGCAATATCAGCCAGTACAGGAGTCCGGGTGAGATATAGAAATGGATGAATAATACAGGTGAATATTGTTTTTATACATCTGGATATTCATGTACTATTGGTTTCGTAAAACGATTCTAAACTAAGAACGGGTGAACCAACATTTTCATCTAAATATAACCTGTATTATTAGTTATACTAGTAACCTAACCTAATAATTTTTGTATTCAAGTAATCCAAAAGCATGGAACTATAATAATTTTATAATTGTCAATAATATTTTTAAAAGAAAAATATTTCATTGGCATATAAAATAAAAACTTATTTCTTGTTGTTCTACGGCAAAAACTTAAAAAAAAAAATAAAACGTAACCTAATATAGAAACATTAAATTGTTTTTTTTTTCTTATAGTTTGATTACATTTTGATTCCTTTAGTATTTGCTCGTATTTTTGAATTTATTTTACAAATGTATAATAAATGTATAAAATGCATACGCGCACATGTAAGTTTTGGATTCCATAAAATGAAAGTTATACGGGTACCGTACATTATTGATGGACTTCTTATAAGAAGGAAATAATTTAGTCAAAGTATAACTCTCAACTAAACCAATATATGGTAAGGAATGAAAAATTAATGATAGTACGAACTGAAAGTGGAAAAACAACAAAAAAAGTACATGTATCTCTAGTAATAGGTTTTAGCCATGCACAAGAATAGAATACTTATGAACTGTTTATTAGCTACTAATTTCCACCTATTATAATACAATAATATTTAACCATTCGGGTATATATCGTGCACGTTAGCTGCAGCAATGTATTTTTACACCAAACTTTGGCTGATTGATATAATTCGTGTGAATTAACAGTAAAAGAACAGCTACCTCCAAAGTGTATGATATTTATATTAGATTTAAGATTAATACTACGATTTTGTAAAATACATTTGGAATGTAATGCTAAATGTGTACGATGTAGGTATTATATTATTAAAGATGAAAAAATTACATGAGTCGGCAATATTAATATATTTTTTAAATTATTCAAATGGTAAACGGGTACAAATGCATTTCATTAAACCATCAATTAAAATTTTTTCTTCATAGCTTTGATGCAATTTAATTGTTTATTATTATTATTATTATTATTTTTTATGTTGTACATATGTGTTGTGTTTATGATCTCATTTTTTAAATGTTTTGTTCGTCTCGAATAATAGTTATTGTAATAACATGTTTTATGTTTCTACAGGCGTCAGTCGAAATGTAGGTACTACTATCAAAACACTTAAAAATGAAAATGCCTCATGTAGTACTTACTAGACGGTTGTCGTTAATTACAAATTAGTAGTTATTTGAAACTCACTGTAGTCGACTTTATGGTGATATTTCATCATTTAATAAATTATAAATAGTTCATTTTAATGTTCTACGTATGAAATACTAAAAATAATTGACTTTTTTTATGAGTCTTTGAGTACCTAATTATAAGCTATTAAAGAATATGAACAAAATGTACAAAATTATAAATTGTCGAATTCGAGCTTATTCATTATTAGTTAAGTCCAGAAATCAAATATTATTTTTTTCAAACCATTACGTGCTTGCTTATTATGGAAATATTATTCGAATATAATCGAAACTATTCGAAATCAGTGTTCGGGGAGCATATGAGGAGCCAATGAACGAATACAGCTTTCGACTTGAATACATAGAAAATGTCCTTAAATGCAATCGATTAGTTATTAAAATGTAAAATTCCATTGGTCTTGATCAAACTGTTTCGTATTACATGCAAAAATGTGATACCTAACGAATTTAAATGCCTAGGGCCGATCTCCGACCGAACGCATGTTTAACATCATAATATAAATATATATATGTTTAATAGATTCATATACTTGTGTATACGGGATGATCAGAATTTTACATCACAATAGTTTTGTCATGATAATAATTAGCAAACATCGACAATAATAATAATAATAATAATAATAATAGGTTTTAAGTTTTTCAATACTTTGGCCGTTAATGGGTTAAAATAGATACACGAGAGTAGGGGGATTGTATGCATACACAGTATACGACTTGAGATGTAATTTTTTTTTTTAATTTCGTTTTGGAAAGCATCTTTTCGCCGCCGTCGTATTAAAATAAAAGCAATAGAGGACAAATAAAAAAAAAAAAGGAAAAAATTAAAAAACATTCACTGTAGTAAAATGTTATCGCTCGTTTTCGATTGTTATGAAATATTCGTCGATTCATTCGGGCTGATGTGGAAGTAACAAAAAGGAAATGAAAAATTCCATACACACGTATAATACGATGTTTTGAAAAATACCATTCGGCGGAAACAAAAGAAAAAAAAACAAAAACGTAGTCACTCGAATAACGACCGGGGTTTTTTGTTTTGTCATCGTTATTCATTTAATTTAATTTATATTTGATACATAATATACGTGCAAGGAGGTTGTGTGGCATAAACGGGTCGGCGGTCGGCGGCGATTCGGAGAGACATTGCCAACGTTGGGAACATTTCGAACCGTAACGTTTGCGCGCTTCCACGTCTCGTTCGGCCAGATGGCAGTGCCGTACATCAGCCGCTTTCGGTAGGGGAAATTTAATCGTACACGGTTGCCGTCACTGCGCAGCGAGTGTTTTCGAATCTGTCCGTCTTTCTCTACTGCCGTGTTGTTAGGTTATCTCGTGCGTGTGCACACCATTCGCGAGCCCTCTTGTCATTTCGTTTCGTCTCGTCGTCGTCGTATAACACACCACAATGTCCAAGAGAGGTGAGTTTTTAATGCATCCGACATTGTTTCGCTTTCAGACAATGGGAAATCGTTGTCGTCGGGAAGTCGGACGTTAACCCGGTTCGCCGTGTCGACGCCCGTCCGACCGTAGTTTTGTTCGGGCGCGCACGCGTTTTATGCGACGATGTATGGCCGCCACAAGGTAATATGGTCGACTAATTTTGTTGCGATGTGCTTTTTTCAGGACGTGGTGGTTCCGCCGGAGCCAAGTTCCGTATTTCTCTCGGTTTGCCCGTCGGTGCCGTCATCAACTGCGCTGACAACACCGGTACGTGTAATATTGTTTTTACTCACGACCATGATGTCAGTCTTTTGTGTGCTATTTAACTTTATTTTCGTCGTCTTGTGGTTGTCCAGGTGCTAAAAACTTGTTCGTCATTGCCGTCCAGGGCATAAAAGGTCGTTTGAATCGTTTGCCGGCCGCTGGATCAGGTGACATGATAGTTGCCACAGTTAAGAAGGGAAAGCCAGAACTCCGTAAAAAAGGTAATGTTTTTTTTTTCACCTCCTCAAATAAATTTCATGATAAAATTTTGTACAGTAATGCCAGCGGTAGTCATACGACAGCGGAAGCCTTTTAGAAGGAAGGACGGGGTGTTTTTATATTTTGAAGACAATGCCGGGGTGATAGTCAATAATAAAGGCGAAATGAAAGGTATTTAGTTAAATTTCTTTTTAAAATGAATCGTTATTTTATTATTTTCTTGTTATTTAGGGAGTGCGATTACTGGTCCTGTAGCAAAAGAATGTGCAGATTTGTGGCCTAGGATTGCATCAAATGCTAGCAGTATTGCTTGAATTTTGTTTTGAACTATGTTGTATGTGTTGACTACAATAAAAGCCTGTATTTACTGCAATTTCAGTGTTTCGTTTTATTATTTTTTAATATCCTTTTACATCTTAGAGTATAAACAATGCTTAACGAAATGTTATTGATTATTGATTAGAATTTATTTTTGACATTTATGCCACACGAGTAAAGATTAATGGTAAATAAATTAAAGTGTAAAAATCTTGGCCTGATTATACAAATATAAAAATAGTTGGCTCCTTGTTTAAATTTTATTTTAAAATGATACAATAATTTTTCTTAATGATTATATTTTGTAATTGTGATCAGGCTGTGTAATGCATTTGGTATTGGCTTATTAATTTATTAATTATATTTAAATTATTTATATTACAGACTGAGGTAGACTTAAAAGTATTGTTTGGTTTATTGAATTAAATTCAAATCTTAAACTATCCAATGAATTTGGGAATCTAAAAAAATTGTTTTTTGTTAAACATTTATATTAAACTTTTGTAAAGAAAACATTCTGTATTGTTATGGTTTGTATTATACGTCATATTTAACAATGGTTTTAATATAGATACTAAAAAAATTAATTTTTGTTTTATTCTATGTGTAAAATAATAATGGTCAAACACTTTGCAATAACTGTTTAAAATATAGATTTTCAACCACATTTTAATTTTAATAAGTTTTTTATTTTCATAACATGTTATTTAGTTACATTGAACTTTTGATTCTTGAACGAAAATAAAACCAATTCATTGAATATTCGAATAAAACATACAATTAAGTTGAATTTCATTTTAAAAAACCAATTAAGAAAATAATTTGATTTGAAAAAAATAAGTTCAATATATAAAGTATGCCTGTTATGTAAATTGTAAAATTTGTTTCTGTACTAAATAGTTCTAACAAATAAATAGATAATTGAACCATATAAAACTCATGCATGATTGATTGAAACATGGATAGATTTTTTATTTTAATAAAAATTAATGATTAATCAACATCTTAACCGGTAAATACATCTTTGACAAGGAAATATTTTATAGACAATTTAATTGCAGAGAGCAATGTATGAACTTATTGTACCGAAGGTTGTATAAATTATGATTCAAAAGCAATTTAAAATTTATCATATAAAAAAAAATACACACTTGCAAATCATTGAATAAATTTAAAACTAACGAATAAATTAGAATTAAAACTTGTTCTATGTGGAATGTATAACCATTATAATGGTTATTCATATTCTTTTTCAAACAAGATTTATGAAAAAACAGTATGATACTTGGTGACTATTTAAATGAAAAATAAATAGAAATATTTATTGTGAAAACATGATTACAATTATTTTAAATAGCTTAGAACCACGTGTATTATAAATTGCCTATACCCTAGTCCCTGGTATTTAAAAATGGTTAGGTATATAATACGGCAAAATTATAAAATAAAAATTGAAAACTAAAGCAACACTACACAATTTAAAACCAACAAAACTTTAAATAAGAATTTTTAATTCGTTCGAAAAATAATACAGTTGTATATCATTGACTCATTTAGTGATTTACTTGTGCAATCGACACGGCTAATTCTAAACATTGGTTGAAATAAAAATAAGGGTATATTCTTTATTCCGTAAAAATTTAAATGACTGAATTCAATTATACTCTCAAAGTCTGCAGACGACTTGATATTTAGGTATGGATTATTATTCAAATCATACCGTTTCCCTCTTGCTCCTTATCTGCATAAATCAAATGCATACAGTACGTGTTGTTTGAACATGATTTTTGAAAGTAAAGCCGCGCAAGTACCGATAAAAATATATAACAACTATATTGCTGCCCGTAAGATAAGTGTTTGCTTATTATTTATTTATAGAAGTGCAGACCTAAAAATTGTTTACATAATACTGTACTCGTATTACAGAAAACCAAAATTACTGCAACACATGAAATAATTATAATTCTAAAGCGGTTTTTCTCGCACACCAATTGTTTTAAAATACCGGTAGTTTTTTTCATCATATAAATACCTATGTACGATTTTTTTTTAAACGTAAACATTTAAGTCATTCAATCGCTTAACAAAAATAGAACGAAATTATCAACCTGTTGATAAATTTTTATATTTCTGTGATAAATCGTACATTGAGTCCTATCCATAACATATAAATAAATATATATATATATGTATTGTCTGGTATATCTTATGAATTATATAATTACGAGATTTGAATACGGCACGAAACGATTACGAAATAACCGCACTCCAATGTACATATATTAATAAACTTGCATACTCAAGTCATAGAGTTGTAACATATTAATCGGTGATAATGCTGTCAAAAACCGTACGTAGTTTACCGTGCACGACGGATATCGAAATTGTCGACGTACTCCGACGTTATCGGAGGTGAAAACTATTTGAAATTATGTGGGTGGGGGTGCGCAAAAATATTCAATATATATCTAGGAAAAAAAATAAAAATTGTTTGCCGTTCTCACATAATTTAAAGACCGTGATATAAGTGTATTGATACATGGTCATAGTTATGTCTGAAAATTGACCAGTGGTGTTAATGTGTAAAAATGTTATTTAGTAAAATAAATAATAATTTTAAGACATTATTTTAATAATTTTAAGGTTTAGGTATAATGGTTTATCATGTCATTGTTAAACAATTTTTACAGTTTCAATAAACTAAATAATAACACATTTTATATTTTAACTTTATTTAATCGACTTATTAAATAAAAAGTTGGTACTTATGTAGGAGAGGATTGAACATTTTAACCCACCTCAAAAAATGTTTTAGTTACGCCACTGAAATTGACCATCGAGTATCGATCAATTGCCTACCCACCTACCAAATTAAAAGGGGAAATTGCCTTCCTCTCTCCTGATCCCATAGATTTGCGCTTTCGGTCGTTATTCATTCAATGTTTTTTGACGATTTTCCAAATGCTTCGCAGTTTGTACCGATCGACTATGTGTAACATAATCTAGTGATTAGAAAATATATATACTTATATTTTCCCATCCATTAACTGCCGAAACAGACTAAAAGTGAATGAAAGCTAGTTGTTGCGTAGGTACAATAGCCGTTGTTTCTTCGATCGTTTCAAATAAGTAAGCATATATTATACCATAATACATATTATGTTTTATACAGTTACACTTTGTTTTACTAAATGATACGAGTGTGTCACGTGGGCAGATATTCGTTTGAATAAAATAAACGCGTTTTATAACTATATATTATTATAATACGAGTCAATGACGCATTCAGATATGAGAAACCGTTCTTGGGAAAAAAAAGTAAGAATAAAACATTTGTGCGAAACGTGTGCATTTTCACCGAAGAGATGAAAAAAATAAAATTCTAGTTTTTATGGCATACGATTATTCTATATTAGTATGCCATATGATACGTATTATGGTTTCAATTTTTTTTCCCGCTTTCGTATTCATATTATGCGTTCATGGCATACTCGGAACGAAATGTAGAAAAGATTTCGAGGAGGACCTCCGCCGATCGTTTATAATTTTCAATAATTATTTACTCGTCATTTCGGCGTTGGCACACTGTGTGTATTAATTTTTTTTTATTTCAATTGTGATCGTGCTATTACATCTAAATAAAACACTGCGTGCGTGCGCATATAAAGGATTGGCCCACTCTAAGAACGATATCGTACAATTTATAAAAAGGATCATTATGCGCGTACGTTCCGTTCGCACAACATGTGTACGTATATCCTCACTGAGAACAGAATAAAAAAAAAAAAATTCTCTTTTTTAGATTTCTATTATTTAACGATGACGACGGCGGCGGCATTGAGACAATACGAAACGCGGAGCGAAACAGCCGTAAATCATAACAATACGTTCAAGGGAAATATAAATAAATAATGTATATTACACGTAGAGTAATACAAGGTATATACGAGTGTACTATCGGTTTTCGGTGCGTACGCATACAAGCCAGAAAACTTCGTGACCGAAATACTAATTGCTGTGAACCGACACGGTCGAACGTGTAAAATAAACAGCCGTCTAACGACTGCGATCGCGTATCTATCGGTTAAAAAAAAAAAAATGCATATATTTTTCTCTTTTCAAATCGTTTAAATATCTTCTTTTTTTTTTAAGGCGTGCGAGTGCGTGTTGCAGACGATTTTTGGCGTGGGACTCGAATAGTAGTCATAATGATAGTAATAGTAACGGAACGAAAAAAAAAAAACACCGAAAAAAATACACAGATATTTCCTGCACTCGTACGTACACCATTGGGATTACACGTCGACCGACATATACACTCGTACCTGTAATAATATTGTAACCCTGTATATGGACGAAGACGTAATCGTCACTAAACGGACGACCATTCATAAAAAAAAAAATTTAAAAAAAACTACGACCATTAGACTTTCACGAATCTTGGGCGCGTGTCCGATAGATTATTATTACCTACCATTACTGTTATTATTATCATTACCTGTTATTATTATTATTATTATTATCATTACCTACAACTACTGATATTGCCGTCTTGTGTTCGCGATTATTGCTCGGAGGACCTCGTGTGGTGTGAGTGCACCACGTGCCGATCCACGATATAATCTATATTTACACGTAACGTACCTACAGTATTATGCGCTACACGCGTACTGGAAAACAATACGATATTGCAGTGTACAATAATAGTTTTTCGATTACCACCGATACATGGGGCAGCCGCCGAGTGCGTTATTCGATTTTCGAACGAACGTCGCCGTATTAGGACTGTAAGAATTTGATATTTGACAAAATGCACGTTTTCGTTCCGCCGCACCTACATGGGAGACGTAATGCTCGCGGCGCCGATCCCCACGGAAATTTCGTACGTTTATAGCCACTCGTTTATGTTACAAATAGTACACGAGTGATTTTTACGCGATGGTGGCCGACGCGACGCAAACGTCGTAAAATCCATCGGGGGCGGGGGTCGTCGTTACCACGAACGCGTTACTGTCGTGTCCGCCGTTTAACAACGTGTGTGGATTTACATAAAAACG